TTTTATGCCCCCACTCAACCGTTTGAGCTTCAGTTCCTTTTGTAAACCACGAAACCACGAAACTGAAAAACTATAAGATGAGTGACTACGAGTTTGTTTAATGATAGTCATTACAAGAATGGGCATTTGTACTAATTAGTTTGCATTTAGAAGTTAAAAATAGGCTTCCAAAACTGCTCTTTTAATTATCTTAGAGAACCTTTTTTTTTCTTTTTGCATCCTGCATGCCTTATGCTAACCCACAACAACAAAAAAAATTCATTGTGCCTTCTCGGTCTAACGTTTTCCACTGATTGGAAAAACTGTATAGAATCAATTGCTAAATCTTCTGCTTGGAAAATTGATTCACTGTGTTGTGCTTCACAATTTTTCTATTTTGCTCCTTTATAATTCTACCATTCGTCCGTGCATCGATTATTGTTGCCACATCTAGTCTGGTGCTTCTGTTATATATTTAGAGATTCTTGAAAAAAAAAAAAAAATAACGACAACTCTGCAATATTATTGGTCCTGATCTGGCATCTCGGCTTCCACAGCCGTAACGTAGCTTCCTTTTCTATAAATATTTTCATAATTGTTTTGATGAGCTTTCCTCTTCGATACTTCAACTTCCTGTACTAGATTGGCAGCTAGGTCGCATCATTTTGCTGCTCAAATTGCTACATATAACTAAGTTCTATCTTAACAGTTGCCTGTGAAACTCTCTTCCAGCTTCTTGTTTTCCTGTCAACTGTGATCTTTCAACAATTTAAAAATGCAACGTCAACCGTCATCATTTGTTTCCGTGAATCCTGTTCTTTTATTGTTCGTTTTCTCTCCTCATTAACGTTTTGTCACCTTCTTTCTCTCTCCGTACCCCGCCAGCGTCTTAGTGGCTTTATAGCCTTGCCTGGAGTAAAAAAAGTTTTTTAATTTACAAATTTTCTTGATTGCGCTTTGAGTCAAAGTGCAAAATCTTTTTTTTTTTTCGATATCGATAAAGTAAAAAAACTAAAACTTATTTGTATACGGAAATGTAGATTTCAACCATAAAAATCAAGAATAATGTACAATGATAATGTTTTAATTATGTTATAAAATAAGACATATCTCGGCTGATTTACAGGCAAATGCTCAAGAGCGAAAACCGGATGTGAACGGGACAAAGCCCCGTCACAAAATGACCATTATCTTTCTTTACAAATGTTTCCGGTCGAAAAATAAAATAATATTTAAAGTGCTCTATTTTTCGTCCAATAAAAATGCTTCCCTCCTAATTATACTCGCTTCGTTTCTCGAGCCTGTTAAGCCATAAAAAAACGCTATAAAAGGGGTCACACGGAAGTTCAACAGGCAGTCAACAGGTGGCCAGCGAACAGACCTGACGGTCAGGCCGAGCGATCAGCAGCAGAGGAGCGTCAACCACCGTCAACATATGTGAACTACTATGAGAGATCGACCATATCCGAAAGCCGGCTTATGAACTTTACCACAAGATAGCTGTCCCAAACCCTCACGTTCCTGTTGAAATAAACCACGTAAATCTATTTCTACTGTTGTCGTATTTCTTTCTTGCAACCATACGCTTGTCTATAACAATTAACGCCCCCCCCACTCACACAACTTCATTTACATTCAAAATTTTCTCTTCCATACTTTTAAAAACAGTTCTCTGCTTTTTCTCCGGGAATATCTACTTGAGACTTACAAATAAATGCATTGTATTTTTGAGTGAGAAAATTCAAACACACAAAAGACTCAAAGAAGTCATAAAATTTCATTTATGGATATTACGATTTATTTTAAAATCCTAAAAATATATTTTATGACAAATGTTTTTTACTATTACAAAACGATCAATATAATGAAATTAACGTTGAGTAAAAACTTTTATATACAAGAGTTACTTCCCTTAGAAATTTTCAGGAACTAGAATTAACTAATTTTACTTTGATCGACTTATATGTTGAAATCGATATTTCAATTTATTGGTTCTTCAGAAAATAAAAAATATTTAATTTTTCTTATTTAGTTTTGGAAGGTATCGTAAATCATCAAAATATTTTTCATTAATGCTAACGTCAAAGATATTTTTATCAAGCTTTCTTAGGCTATATACGGGGTGCAGCAGATATACCTCCCACATAATGGTAAGACATTAGTAGTAATGGTGTCATTTCTACCACACACTGTATATATAAACAGCACATATTCATTTAAAAAAATTTTGAAGCTAACAGACAAGCCATATCAGTTACAATTTTTTTTTCAATTTTTCTTTCTAACAAATTCATTTCTATATCTTGAAAGGTATAAAAGAAATTTAGAATCATCCCAAAGACACCAATTATCACAAATCAGATTTTGGATTTCATTTAATTTCCCTTAATCTTGACAATTCATTTACTATTTACTCCTGCCTCAATAGCAAATCCAGTATTGTTGACAAAACTAACCTGGCTGTTGATCTCAAAAAGGACCTCCAATCGGTTGTTGACTAGGTCAGGAAATGGCTGGTTAACTTTAATGCCTCAAAAACAAAACTACTCTCTATTGTCCACCACAGAGAACCCTCCCTGCCTCCCATTAGAATGTCTGATGCTCAACTCCATGAGAGCACCTCTCTGCAACTGCTTGATCTCATACTATATGTCTAACATCAAGATAACTTCAAGATCCACCAACAAAATGTGCACACACACACACACACTCATACACACACACACATGCTAGGTGTATTTATATTACTTACATTATTTACATTAAATGGACCGTTATCCTCATCTTCATTGCCATATTCACAATGTTTCAGCCGTTGTACGCTCCAGCCTTTTTCAGCTGATTGGAATTTCAAACCAAACCCTTTATTTCGTCCACCAGAGTAGATTGTTCTAGTTCCACATACCAAGCCTCTTCTGGGTGTCTCAGCTATTTCTTTTTAACACAACTCTCCAAGTTTTGGTTCACCACTGCTGTGGCCTGGTATTGAACTCACAACTCTTTGGATCTAGTCACTGGATCTAACCAACATCTTTATCCACCGGGCCACGTGTCCTTGAGAAAGGCCAGAGTGTACAACAGCCAAAATGTTGTGAATATGGCAATGATGATAACAGTCCAATTAATTTAAATAATGTAAATAATCATAATACCTCATCTCAGAGATAAAGACAGTGTATTTGTAAGCTTTGGCTATACTAAAGTTATCTTCCTTATACTGATAACACCGGATGGTGTGAAGTGTCCCATTATAATAATGGTAATCCAAGGATCTTACAAAGCTGACAGTGAAAAGACCAACTCTGTGAAAAAACAGAGTACAACAATATGTGGAAACCTTATAAGATTGACTGATTGATTTCTTTTTTATGGCTTATTTGCAGGTTATTTAAAGCCAAAAATATTTTTTAGACTGTAAGAATTTTTTGAGATAATAATGATTTGTTGATACAAATCCTACTACTTAACCCATAGCTGGAGGGAGAAGAGATGTATTAATACCTTTCCCAAGGTATTAATTATAAATCCAACTGGAATTGGAACTCAGCTCTCTGCTTTCCACCTGTTATATATTACACCATCTGCACATCCAAGCTTCCAGCAACTGGTATTCCCAAACAGTCACCCACCTAGGTAATAGGCAGGCAACCTTATAAGAGGTCAGTTTCATATATGTCACCACTTTTTATGGCATGTGTAAACTAGTAAAGATAGAATGTAAGCAACAGTAAAGTTGCTTGTGTCATTTACTTATAAAATCTGATTTTAGTAATATATGCAATAGAGATCTTGCCTAACACGGGTATTAGAGTTATTTCCCTTAGATTGTAAAAAGAATTTTAAAATATGTTCTTCCTTGATAGAACCATTTTTTTTCTTTTTGCAACAATAAGATTATCTGGTCAAAGATTTTCAAATTAACAATGAAAATATTTCATTAAAGAATTCAAATTATTTAAAATAATCACAAAAATTAAGATTTCTCTGTATATATATATATATATATATATATATATATATATATATATATACACGCAGGATTGGTGTATACAGAATAAATTCCAATAACCAACCAATACTATTCTTAAAAGAGTGCTCAATACAGAGTAGAACAAATAAAATTATTTATTCGAAAATTATAACATAAATATGTTATAAAATCACTACAAAAATAGCCATTTTGTTTCAACACTTCTGGTGTCTTATCAAGTGATGTTATTTGAATGCAAAAAAAAAAAAAAAAAAAAAAAAAAAATGATTTTCAAAAAATGCAATATTGTTTTCTGGGAATTAATTTTGCTTCATAAATAGAAGAGAACAACAACAATTCAGTGAAACTTGTTTTAGTCAAATGACAATGATCCCATAACAATTTAATGGTTTCATTTTGTTTTTCAATATCAATAAACATCCTAAGAACAATTTTCTGATATCAGCCATTGGAAAAGTCAATAAGGCACACAGAAAAGTGTATCTGATTCAAGAATAGAACATTCTTTGTTTACTAACAATCGACTATGAAGTAGACTAGACAACAAATAGGCAACTGGATTTTCCTATATCTCTGAAAGTTAGTGTATTCACATTGAGCCTTCAGATTATTACATTTCAATGAAGCTATAACATACAATATTACTATCTTTTCACAGTTGAATTTAGGCTTTTTTTATTAATCTTAAAGATAATAAACAAAATATTTAATTATAAGATCACAGATATTGTATTTACATATTTCTCAAGTGTGGAATTCTCCAGAGAGTAAAGATAATTTTAAGTTCTACTGAAATAAATTCACTCAAATTTCTAATATATTTCCTTAAAACAATACAAAAAAAAAAAAAAAAAAAATAGTATACAACATATTTATTCTTTAATCAAAACTTATCCAGTTTTTTTTTGTGTGTGTTTGTAAAATTTCTGAATGTTTGACTTCTGACAATACAATCAGTTGAGTGATTCAAAAATTCCACTATAGAAAATATTTGGTCCTCCATTTCATAGACTTTGTTATTAATTATCACTTAATGATGATGATGATACATGATCCTCTTGAAATATTTTCCATTGTTCATAAAATAGTCAAAGTCCTCAGCAGATTTGGTCTTTTGCAATACACTGAAAATAAGCAAAAAATTTTTATAAATCAAATTATAATTTTCATTTAATAATTATATAAACCGTCATAAACATTTTCTTTTTTTTTTTTTAAATACCAAAGCATTTTACTATTTCTAAGTGCAGGAAACTGAAATTCTCTGCATTATCTAAAAATGTATCTCCAGCTACCAAGAATCATGTACAAATTTCAACCCTTTCTATCCAGAAAGACATTTCCAATTTCCCATTCACCAAAGAGGATAATTTTCAAACTAACTCTTCAGCTGTATAACTAATTTTTATGGATTATAATTCATAAACCTCATATACACAAATCCATCATATACTATTGATTGGATCTTGCAGATTCAGAATTTCTTCAAAAAAATAAAGTTACAAAAAGAAAATTTACTCTTGAACAAAACACCCAACAGTATTCTTACCACAGACAACACAAAATTCCAAATACTTCATTTTAATTAGCAGCCAACTACCATATTTTATGGCATATAAGATTTTTCCCCATTCATTCCAACAAAGACTATCAAGAACAGATTGTTCAACTGTATATCAAAATTTCTTCTGGAACTTCAACTGGTTTTCTCATTTGGCTCAGTTGAAAATGATTGTTTTTGTGGATGCATATATGTGTGCATTTATTACAAATTTATGAAATCCTAATATTTTGAGAGAAAAAAAAGAGTCTTATATATGCCATCAAATATGTTAATTAAACTAAAAAGATATATTTTTGCAGTCTTCATTCAATTTTTTTTTCTTTTTACACACTGAAACATTTTATCCACTTTTAAAAAATGTATATTAATTCAAATAATATATTAACTAGCTTAAATTAGTGTTAGCAAAGTTGCCTCCCTTTATAGTAATTCTTCTATGTATTGCGTCTCTTCAGGACATAGGAAGTTATGGAGTGCCATGATCTCGTGTGGCTCTTAGCAGTTTTTCTACTTTTGATAAGACCAATCCCTCGTTACATCATCTATTCGCAGAACTTAAAAAAAAAAAAAAAAAAAAAATTATTTTTGCTTAAATTCTCATTTTTGTTCATGGAAATTTTTTTTTAACTGGTAAAAACAATTGCTTTTTGCACAACCATTTTGTCAATTACCATAATATTCAACTGTTTCCATTTGTCTCCGGTGGAAAAATTTCAGCGTTTTCATATAAAAAAATTGCAGTCATGATTCAATATCTACTATTTGTCTATCCAGCCACAAAAGTATCAATGAAAAAGCAAAAGTTGTAATTATTTGCGTAAAAGAAGATTCACTTACAGAACATGGGAAACAAAAATTACAAAAAAAAAAGAAAAAGTTACATTAAAATAGATGGATAACAATTTATAAAGAAACATTAAAACTAAGAGTGAAATTTATCACAACAAATAGGAAGAAAACTAAACAGTGAAATTGAAAGAAAAGTAGCTTATCAAAAACCTTTTACTTACCAAGCAGTTTTTTTCACTAGTAATTTAATCAAAAACATTCCAATGGTCATCACTTTTTCAACTTGTTCATCAGGACAGCATTTTCCTTCTTCATTTGTTGTAAGTCATTGGTGATCTTCTCCAAGTTTGTCTGGATCTTTTTCTTACTTTCATTCTCAATCTAGAAAGACAAAAACTCATTGTTAAGAAATGTAATACCATCCAGTAAATTTACCACCACAATAGCAAAAAGAGTTAGATTCCTAAAATAACCTCATATAGATACACCTTAGTTTATTACCTGTTTGTTGTCTATTTTGCTTCTTATAATTACTTTTAGTCAATTATCATCTAGTTTTTGTTTATTCATCAAGAATCCCTGAATTAAAACTGTTACTGAGGGCAACAAGAGATTTAACAGATAATATAAGTTTTAGTGTTTCTTTATCAAATTTAATATAAGGAAACTATTATAATGTAACAATTATAATTTATATTTTAATAGTGGTAAAGATTTTGAAAGTTACAAAAAGCAGCCTAAGACATTTTAATTGAGCTTTGTTTACAATAATAAATGCAATCAAGTAATACAAAATGCATTAAGAATTTGCCAATTTTCATCACATTTGAGCTAATCAAGATGTCTGCTATATACTTTTCTCTTACGTTGGCCGATTTGAGCTGATCAAGATTTTTCTTACAAATGAATATTAATATGGATTTAAAAAAGGCAATGTACAAATTGACATATAATAAGAAGCTATCAGTTTATATACTACAGAGCTTTGTCTATTAAACTACATGAATATCCACCAAATTCTGATATAAATGCTTCCATTCTATGAGAAATAATATTAATAATCCTATTTAAAATAGAAGACTTTACAGAATGATTATCTATGTCAATATTTGTTTATAAAATGTACATTAGTTTGCAATAACAAGACAGTACTGAACAAGTATCCTACATTTTGCTCAGGTGTAAAATGCTTCAATACAAATACATAGACATGTATAATAATTATATAAAAAATTAACTCAAACACACAACAAAATAATTATCTTTCCTTATGCATCATTTAAATCTAAAATGAAAGCAAAAGAAATGCACATTAACTGAAATACTTAATGTCTGTGAAACCAAAGATTTATTTAAGGCTTTAAAACATTGTAATAACAACAAAGATGAAGGCATTAGTCCACATGTAAATAAGCATTAAAACATTTGAAAATTTGGCAGTTATTCACCTGATCTTCTAAAACTCTAATTTCTCTCATAATCACACCAGTATCATGAATGGTGGTAATTAATGCTTCACAATTCTGAAAGAAAACAAAACATGATAAACAAATATTGCTATAATTGGAGAGACAGAATTCTATGTTTTAATATACAGGGATGACAAGATTTGTAAGGATTTGTTCATTAATCAAAGCAGAGGAAAATAGATAAATCAAAGATGATAAGTTTCTTAAAACATTACAATAATAATAACTAGCAGAGACCAATGTAAATTACACAGGTTTGCTAATAATATTTTTACTGTTGCACTCTGCACTTTTCAATTTATGACCATTCCCAGAGAGTGACAGTCTCTCTTAAAAATATTGAAATGTTTTCAACAGATTGTTAGGACACAAAACAGGATTTAAGCCTCATTACAAACAAATGCCTTTATCTAAATTGACACCTCACTCCAATCCCTCTCTGTCTTAATCTTGACTTCCCTGTCTCTTTCTATTTCCTTCTCAGATGCTCAACACAGTCTGAGCTTTTGATTAGAAGAACATCTTATTATATTACAACAACTTATTATATTACAAAAAATTATAATTATTAAAAGAAAGATTTTAATTTCAAAAGGCCAGTCCAGTTCAATGGCAAATTTGTCTTCAACAGATTGTTAGGTCATGAAACATGTTTTAACTTGTTTTAAACAAGTTAAACATTGATTTAATTTAACTACAAAGATGACACTTTAATTCTTATCTCTTTTTGTCTCTCTACGTCCCTCTCTGTTTTGCAATATGCCCCTCTCTCTTTCTCTTTCAGTATCTTCATACATAGGTACAAGTGTATTAATATATAGATAATTTAAAAACAAACAAAAAAAACATGCTTTATTCATAATTCATTCATTAATTTTGCCAATGTTTATTTAAAAAATAAATAAAGGATGTCATATTTAAAATTGGAAACTTTAAGATATTGGTGTGTTTTTCTTATCTTTTTTAATTGCATATATTTTAATTTATAAATATCTTCACTTAGTCTTTTTTTAACATGTACAGCTCAAAATTTTCTATTATTTTCTATTTATCTAATTATTTTGTTTAACTTCTGTTTAAATAATCAACTCATTCCCCGAAGATGGCATTTACAGAGTTACTTCCCTCAGACTGTAACAAATTTACGAAGATTAAAAAAAATAAAAATAAATTAAAATAAAAGATTTTAATTTCTAAAGTTTCACGAAACATGATTTAACACCTCACTACAAGTTACATTTATCTTAAGTTGAAACCCTCTAATCCCTTTCTGTCACACTCTCTTTTTATCACTCTTCGTTCCTCTCTCTTTTTCTGTTTTACTATGTTCTTTCTGCTTTCCCCTTGATAAAGCGTGACAAGTGTATTATTAACATATAGATAAGAGTAATAAAATAGGTAGTCCCACTCAGTTTTGATACCTTGATTTAAAATTAAGTTTTAAAAATGAAAAAGCTTTCTTTTTAGCTTTAATCGAAAGCTAAATTATTAAATTTACTATTTCCAGTAAACAAAATACTCTGGTGTATTCAAATAGAAATTATATTGATTAGAATCTCAAATTTTTGTTAGCTTTCAGAAATTGTTTAAATTCAGCCATTTTTAACACATTTTTAAACAAAAAGTTAATTCTCGGTTTTAAAAATCTTACAAAAATAAAATATACTAAGGAATATTAACTGATTTAAAGTATAATTAATCTGTTTTGAAACAAATATTATTTATTTTAAGTTTAAAATAACAGGGAAATAGATTTTTAAAACAAACAGTAGTGCAATTAAGTGCTTGTCAACATCTCATAAATAACTTGAAGAGTAATTTATGAGATGTTGACACTTTTATTATTGTTCTAAGTAGACCTTCTGTTAAAACATAATTTAAGAAAATGATGGGTGAATGCTTTTTTTATATAATTTTTAAGTACTCAGGAATCTTAAAAATGTTGGAAAATGTTCTCTGTAATCTAACTTTAGGAATGTTGAATTTAAATTTACTATAGTCATCACTCTTATTTTCTGATTATGTTGTGTATGGTCACCATACTTTCAAACAGAGGCATGTTACATAAACATAAAAATATTTAAAAATTTTTTAAATATTGGGTGCAAGCAACTTTTAATGAGCTTTTCAATTTTTGATTCATAAATATAGTTTTCACTTAATAACAATATCACTTAAACGGATTGAAGTAATGCATAATTTTAAATAATTTATAATATTGTAAATTATTATAATTAAAATTTTTAAAAATGAAAACAATTCTTGTAAAATTTCATTATTCATCAAAAAAAATTTTTTTCTTAAGACAAAGCTGTTAAAAGCTTTTCTAATTAAATAATGTCATAGTTTTATTGCATTTTTTATTTTGCAATTCAAAGCAGATTTTCAGTTCAGGTGAACTGTTTTACAAAAACAAATTGATGATTTACATTCTCCAAGGAGTCCTGCTTTTAACTAATAAAACAAATTTTGAGAATGAAATTTTATTTCTCAAAACTTCATGAAATTAAGTGGGTGGAGTGGGGGATAACATATGTAAAAAAAAAAAAATATTTTTTTAACAAGATTTTCTAGAAGAAAAAAAATTCAAAAATAATTTCATTCATTTGTGAATTAGTCCATTATATTTTCAATAAAATCCAACAATTATTTGATTTTTGCAAGAATTTCCAAATCAATGTGTTTTTCACCAGAAAAAAAGCACAAAAACACTAATCATAATTATTATGTCAACTATGATGCAAAAAAAAATTCAAAAGTGTTAGAAAGGAGTAAAAAATTTTTAAAATAATTTTTAAAAATACTGTTTTTGCCTCTTAATAATAACAAACATTTTGACAATAAAACTTTGTTTTTATTATGCTGTTTTTCAGTGAAAAAGTGGAGGTACCGATAATAAAGTTACAGGTAGCTGATTCCAAGTGTTAACTCACCTCATGTAGAGCTGCCAAATGTTTATAGGATTTACGTACAGATTCGTCTTTTTTGGCATCCTAAAAACAAGACATAACAATTAGAAAATGAAGGCTAAAATATAATGAAAATATCCAGTAGACTTTTTTTTATTAAAATTTCAAAGAAATGGAAACTGAATACTATTCATATGACAGCAAACATTTTTAATACACAATTTGGAAACAATGAAATCCAAAATACCTTTTACACTGGTTCCTGTACAATCATCAAAGTTAAGCAACATCGAACCTGGTCAGTACTTAGATTGGTAACCACTAGGAAATACCAACTGCTGTAAGCTTGGATGTTCAGGTGGTGTAATGGATAACAGCTTGGAATTGTTAATTGGAGAGCAGAGTTCCTATTTCCACAGTATTCATTATATTCACTTACACATAAATACCCTTGGGAGAGGAATGAATTCACCTCTTCTCCTCCCAGCCATGGGTTAATTAGTGAGACATATATCAATAAAACCATTATTATTTCAAGAAAAAAAATTGCAATCAGAATATATAGATTTTGACATTAAATGACTCATAGATGTATTGATGTGCTACTAAACAAAATCAACCAAACCAAACTAAATACTTTTTAGCCCTTGAATGTATTGAAATGCTTGTTAAAAATCTTAAGCAAAATTTTAAGTAAAAAATATATTGATTGTGGTAGTAGTATCCTATGTTCACTATGTACAAGTAATGGACTTGCTGCAGTTGGCTATTTAACTTGTAACTCCTATTTTCCTTTTGTAGCTGAGTTTAGTTTACTTGAATAAAGCTTAGTACTTTTACTATTGTCCTGAGCTCTGTTTACTCTTACAATTCCTGCAATGATCAGACTAACTTCTACAACTTTGGGCAAATGAACTTACTTTAAATACAAGTTCATCAGTCACAGTAAATGTTCTGTCCAACTTTCCAGTTAGGGAGTTAATTTCTTTCTGTAAGGCTTTGGTATCAGTGAGAACCTGTGAAATTTAACAGAAATTATTACCAACCAGGAAATAGAAGTGAAAAATAATAGAGACACAATACAACTATTTAAAAAGAAAGAAAAAAAAAAAAATTTAATAAGAGTAGATTGCACACACCATAATGCAGAATATAAATAACCCAGAAACTGTAAGAAATTTGTCTCATCTATCCGAACATTCATATTATATACTTTATTAAAAATATGAAATATAATTTCATAAAATATTCAAATATGTACAATGCATGTGTGTTGCATTTCATTAACAATAAATGATTAAATTTTATCAATTATAAACTTGCTAACTTATTAGAAACATATAGGTACATAGACAATCAAACATTCTTCAGAGATTAAAAAATATACTAAAAATTATATAATTACACAACAGCAACTTACTTTCTCAATCTCATTATTCTGCTTCTTGATATTTGATACAATTTCCATGATACGCCGAGTGTAAGCAGATCGATTCACATCTTTGGTCATATTCTCATACTTGGTAACCTAAAAACAAAACATTTTAAATAAAGAAGAAAATTTTATGTTATAGGAGTCATTTCCTCTCTTGAAGTACATTTTTGAAAATGTATTTCTGGGAGTTCTTAGATACTTATCAGTTTTTAAAATATTTGCATTTAAAAAAAAAAAAATACAAATATTTTAAAATTCAAAGTTTTTTGTTCAATAATTTTAAACATTCCTGGAACTCATTTTGTTTCTTTACACTTTTATAGACTGGTTTTCTGTTTGCTGGAGGAAGACTAGATTTGTTAATAAAGTTAAATTTAAATCAGTACAAATTAAATGCAAAAATAATACAATAATATTTGATTTCTTCATTAAGACACACATTTTATGAAATTCTTAAAAACACAAAGAAAAATAAGAAACCTTGTGTTTACCAATTGTTTATGAAGTTCTTCTTTTGCTCTCGTCTCTGCTGCAATTTCTTTCATCTTCTCTCTGAATGTTTTCATTTCCTCCAACTTCTTTTCTGCTTCAGACTAAAGGAAAAATAACAAACAATGAACACTCATTACTTAACACAACAATTCTATATTAACAAACAAACCAATAATAATTATACTATATAATATTCTATATCACTTATGTTATTAAAATGTAAAATAGATATTACATCTTTTGGAATCGAGTGATTTTTTTAATGGCACATCAACTCCTTATGGATCATTTAATGCTGAAATTTAATTTTCTTGGGAGCTTTGAAGTAATAAAATATGATATATGTTATTCTGTTTTCACAATTGAATACATGGTAAATGATACTCAGCTTCTCTGCATATTTGTATGGGCATAATTACTGGAGGCAGCAATATGTCTGTTTTATGTTGTAGTTTTGTTGAAGTTATAATTTTGAAATACAGTTTGATTTTCTTGAAAAACTTGTAGGATATTATATGGATTAATGTCATGAAAGAGTTCTTTCATTTTGATTGATTGATTTTGTTTGTGGGCATATCAACTGAAATCTAAATATTTTGTACATAATTTCATGCTTTCAACTACAGATATTGTATACATAATTTTATACTTTTCGTGTTTTTAGAGATATATTTTGCAGTTCATAAAATGTATTGCTGGTAATTTTACTATAAAAATGTAATGTTGATTTTTGTTTGGCGGGGTTCACTATTTGCCCATAGCTGGGACCTGAGTAAGTACTACCACTCCAAATTAGGGACTGATATTTTCCAGATCTTGAAATCATATACATGTCAACAGCAGACAATATAATACATATGTCCACAGCAGGAGAAGTGTTAAAGAAATAGAAGAATTTATAAACGGATTTGTGTCGAAAATATGCAAGTGACTATTTCTAAATATTACATGAAAAATAACCTTCAAAGCTATTTTTTTAAAGTTATACAGTAACTGTAAATGATAAAATTTGTAAATATTTTTTTCTAAACTTACCTCTCGAAGGGTGTTGAATTCTTTAAGTTCTCGGTATTCTTTAATGAGTGGGGCTCTGTGATCTTCCCATTGAGTTGCTAAACTTACAAGTCTTTGTGCACTGTTGTCAACAACTGACTGAAAATGTAAATGAAAGTTCTTTTTGAGAAATTGTTATTTAAATGTTAATGTTTTGTCCTCCTTTATAATCTGCTGTGCGTTAATTCTCTTTGGAAGCTGATTAAATGATGTCAATAACATTTCTATAAAGTATAGCAACAAGATATTTTCCTTTTTCTCTTAGAGAAGAGAAAGAAATGAACTGAATAAATAAATAAATAAATTCAAAGCCACAATTTCGCCAAAAAGCCATAACACTTATGCTTGGAAACAGGAAGTATCATGCAGAAAACCAAAACTGAACATTGTCTACATATGTTAGATGCAGCCAATGGAGACCATGTGGAAATGTTCTGATGTGTTTAAATAAAACTTCATTTGTTCACCTAGGTTTTTCCAATATATTCTGTGAAGCAGATAATTTATGGACACCTTGTATAATCCAGATAATTATAGAAATTAATAAATCATAAAACAAATTGTGAAAAAAAATTAATACATATTAACATGGTTGTTACATGAATTGAAACCAGCTATTTTAACAGTACCATGTGAAAGAGACATCATCTACAAAAAATAGTTATTCTAAAAATAAAAAAATATGGATATTGCAGAGTGAATATATCTTAACTAAAATTTTCCCAGCTGCTTGTTTTCATTTTGTCAATTTGTTATTCCTTGTCTCAGTGCTACCAAAAATATAACATTCTTGGTGTTGTCACTTGATGGTGTTTCTGATCTTCATGGTCATCGCATGTTAACATCAGCAAGCTGAGAGATAACAATTCTACAGAGATTTCACCAAGTGTTCATTATGATTTTGCACAGATTTCAGATGTTAAATCCTCACAACCATGGTAATCACTTTGCTGAAAACTAATTTCAAAGCATAAACCAAGAAATTCTGTTGACATCTAACAATGGGTTTAATGATAATAAATTGAAGAATTTAAAATATATAAAGAATAAATATAAATATTATTAATCTTTCTATATAGCCTGGTTGGCAGTCTTTCAGCAGGAAAATTATTCTAGTAGCAATTCATAATAAATGGAGAGATCTTAGTTGAGGGGAAGTAAGGATTAAAACTGGACATCGTCTATTTTATCATCTGGTTTTATATGTGTACCTGTCTATCACCCTGAATATCAGCTTGTTTATATAAGAAAATTGGAGCATTTCTGGTATTTGTTCATTTTATGTTTTTTCAATAAAATATCCATGACCTTTCTTTGTCTTAAAAAAAAAAAAAAAAAAAAAAAAAAAAAGGAAAAAAAAAAAGAAAAAAAAAAAATAGATGGCATCTCATTTATTCCAAACATTGAACTTGGTAAGATAGAAATATTTGTGAGGTTTGACAGTATTTTAATTGGAATTTTGAAAATTTTAAAAGACCCTAAATCTTGTCAAAACTGCAATAGAGGAAACTGGGTAGGTTGGGGAAAGATATAGTCTTTTATTAAATCTTAATGAATTGTATTTGGTCTATTTCAGGTTCAAATTTTCTCAGAGCATTCTCATTTTATGGCTTCTAATTATTATGTCTAATCCATCTTTGACCCTTAATTAGTTTCAGTGGCATAGCTAGTGCTTTTTGCTGCCCTCTCCAGAAGAAATACAATATTACAATGCACATTAATTCCTTAAAAAGTATATATATATATATATATATATATATATATATATATATATATATATATATATATATATATATATATACACACACAGAGTCAATGATGAAATTATTTGTACATCCATCAATTTTAATATTTTTATCCATTTCTCAGAATCTAATACTCGTATGATGCCAGTTTTTTTTCCATGTTTCTGTTAACGTGGTGTTTATAACTCCTCACTGATAAATTATGAAATAAAAATACAACAATTGTGTTTATTTATTTTTTTAAAAAATAAAACTGGGAATATGTAAAAAAAAAACGAAGACGTTACTTCTTTTTTTCTAAATCGGGAAAACTTTTAAAACTTTTTACAATATTAAAAGAAAGATAACTTGTTTTTATATACTCTTTTATTTAAAATGAAAAACAAAAAACAAAAATATACATTGTACTTTTAATTTATAATTTATCAGTTTTTTAATATTTATTTCAATTAAGGAGTCATAAATTAAATGCCACGTTAACAGAAACACAGTTCGTTTTTCTTTAACAATGTAAAAAATATTTTTAAATTATTTTGTTTTGTGTAGTTGAAGTTATTAGCAAAGTAGTAGACTAAGAATGAAAAATCCAATAAAATTAATTTCACTTTTAAAAACTGAAATAAATGTTATATTCTTAGTCTATTTTACTTAATAAAACTTCATCTAAACAAAAAAATAAAACATTGCATTGTTTTACTATTGTGAAAACTTTAAAAAATATATTAAGTTTCAATTTTTTTTTAAATTTCTGCTCGATATAACCAGAAAATATTGGAATGCATGTGATATCCTTAAAGCATTGGAATTATTTCAATTTATTTATCTATCAATTTTATAATTTATGAAAAGTAACGATTTTATATTCATACTAGGAATATGATAGGATAAAAACAATTGGTTCACTTATTTAGTTAATTTTTTCATTAACAGTTCACAGACATGAAAAAAAAAAATAAAAAAGTGACACCAAAGTCTGGATTTCTCACATAGGCGTATAAAAAAAACTATGAATTCACTAAATTCACTTAATCCAACCCAACACCAAGACCTTTAAAAATGTTCAAATGTTTTTCACACCTTTTGCTCATTTCTTGTAAGTGGGATTTATCCCCACCAGCTGACAGCAAGTTTTGGAGAATTTTTTTTTATTGCTTGCTGGCTGGCTTTGAGCCATTTTTATATCAAAGACAAATTGGCTTCATTTGAACCCTATCTTCTTCCTTATCAATGCTTTTTTTGCAAAAATTATTGAAATTATGCTATTGTTTTTTCTTTTCTGAAAACTTACAGCAGGGCTGACCGACCCCTCCCCATCATCTACGCCACTAATTAGTTTCATTAATTTTTTTCACAGTTTATTTCCTGTTTCAAATATTTAGATATTTTCATGCATTAAAACATTGAACAAGAGTTTCCACCATTATTAACTAACCTGAAGTTTGACAATGTTGTTATCAGCATCTGGTAATAAGTCAAGTGTTCTTTTTTTAACAATGTATTTCTCCTCTTTCTCCAGATTCTCACGTTTATTCACTTCTGTTTCTTCCTGCATCTGCTGAATTGAACCTACCAACTTCTTCATTTCTGTATCAATCTCATCTATTTTGGTTAAATAATCATTTATTTCATCCTGTAAAACTTGTATTTCACCCTCACGTTTCACTCGTTGTTCCTGAAAAAAAATCAGCAAGTTCTTACAAGGCAGGCAGGCAGACAGAAAAAACCTTTTAAATCAAAAACACATACAATATTATGTTTTCTGATATTTCTAATTTTATGAAGTTAGTATAAATTATAAAAAGAAAGTAATTTTTTTTTACAAATGAAAAAGTCCAACCTCCAAATATTTATCCCAAAAGTTAATCATTCATTTTATCAAACAAAAATTATGTTATTATTCTTTACATTTCTGTACAAGTTTTATGAAGCATAAATATTTTTTAAGAATATTATAAACTCCATTCACATATTTAAAATCAAAGTAACACATCTTGCATAGCTTAGCATTTGGAGCATTTACAAGTTATTCAAAGTATTATCTTTTATTTAATCACAAGAGAAACTGTAGATTTACACAAAGAATAATAGGCATGAACAGTTATTGAATGAGTTGTATCAGAGGAAGACATGTTGGACAGACATGTAGAACAAAGATAATAGTGAATAAACTGAGGTTTTGTTTTTGGAATAAGCTCTTACCTCCTCTGTATCTGCTGAACCAGATACAGTAGCCTCAGTTATTTGAGCAATTTTCTCTTCCTCCTGAATAAAAATAATTATTATTCAAAGATCATAAATTATCAAAATCATTTTACATTATTATCAAAAGCATTTTATATTATTAGCACACATTTTCTAATCATTTGTGAGAAAGTTAACAGGAAAAAGACAGATTTTATAAAAAAAAAAAAAGATATAAACACTGTAAAAAGGAAGCAGAAACAAAAGATCATCTGTTCATAAAATCCTTTATAGCTTCTTCATTTATCCAAGTTTCAATGGATCAATATTTCCCTTTACAATGACTAGATTCCTCAAGCATAATAACATGTCATCATAGATTCTAAAGACAGGATTCCCACTATTATTTTTTTCTCAATATTTCTAAAAAGACTATTTACACAAAATAATTTCAACCTTGAAATAAACACAATATTCATTTTATTTTGCAAACATTAAGTACAGGAAGAAATGGAACAACTTTCAAGCAATATCTTGTCAATGGCAACATGGAATTAAAATAAAGAGATTAGAAGACAAGAAGACTTACTTTTGTAAATTGTAATTTCTCATTATGGATGAATCGAGATCCTTTTACTTTTGGAACATCTACAGCATAAATAGAATTGAGCATTTGTTTTAGATCCTGTGATCCTTGAGTTTCTGCTTGAATATTACTGTGCTCTATTCCTTGACGAATGTGATCCAACACTCGTTTTCGGATCTTTTCTTGTTTCTTATGATGATATTCCTGCAAGTGACCAAGAAATAAATAGCAAAGTAAATAAACATTAACAAAGCATTATTTCTTTTTCTTTCATTAATAAATAAAAGTTACCGTATATACTTGCAGATAGGTTGCACCCTTAGTTTGGAGTTGTCAAAGTGGGTATTTGTAGTTGACTCACAGATAGGTTGCACTATAATCTGGGGAGTTCCTGGTACCAATAAAAATCAGGGTGAATCAAATTTTTGTATACCAGTAAATGACTACTCCACACTGAATAACTGTAAGTGAAATTGTGATTGGTTGCATGGTATTTACTTATCAAGTGCAGGGCTGTCCTGTTTATATGAAAAATTTGGATACTGGTAATCATTTCAGTCCTAAAATCACTTGAAAATGATAATCTTTCATCATAAATCAAATAATAAATGGTAAATATGAGCAATGCAGATCAAGCATTTTTATTTGATATGTGGTGCGGTACTGTTGGAAGAGGTGATTGTGTAAAATTGACATGTGGGGAAAAATTCATTTTCTCCCTTGCTCTCGCTTATGCTTGAGCCCAGGGTACTTGCCTGGAATCCTGATACGCCACAGTCTACTTCAGATTCTACATTGAGTGGATAGGTCGCACCCTATTTTTTTTATTGAAATTTTGGTGAAAAAAGTGCAATCTATTCTCAAGTATATAGGGTACATGTTTTATTCAATCAACATGAACAACTCACTCAAGGATTATTTTTAAATATAAATTATAGACCATCATGATTTGAACATTCCTTTTGCCAGTGATTTGCCACCCAATTATCCTAAATTACTTGACCATCAACAAGTTCAGTAATTTACCTGTTCAGAAACACGAGATGTAAGTGCTGCTTTGCTAAGTTCATTTTCCCATTCTTGTTGGGCAGTTAAATCAGCAGCATGAGCTTCAAGCAGAGAGGCAGGCACATCTTCAGGCCGTCGGGTTTGTTGGATCACCATTGGCAGCAGACTCTGGTAATAATTACGAAGTTCTACAACAGATACAAATTTATCTATATTTTATATTGCTTCTATGAACATGTAACAAAAAATATCTACAGTTCAGTCAAAATTTGCTTTTATATTGGTTATAATTTTATGATAATAGTGATATAGCAAACTCTGTGCATTTAAGAAGCCACAAACAAAACTAAAATACAAACTCACCTTTATGAATTTTCTTGGATAAATTGGTTGTGCCAACAGGCCATTGCAAAGGATAAGCATGAAAGCCAACAGCATCAGACACACCCTAAAAAAGATCAAATATAGCAAAGTTAAAATAAGAAAAAAGTGGACCAAAAAGTGCAGTTTTTTATTTTTAATGGAATTTATCTAGCTTTATTCAAAAAGAATACTTTGTTGTATTCCAACAACAATTATTCTATCATTTTTTCTTTCAAAGGATTTTGTCAAAATTGGTGTATTTCTTCCAAATGTATAACAACGTTGAAGATGGAAGAAAATAAACAACATTATCAGCAGATTATGCTTTTTATTTTAAGAAAAGCAGAAATGTGATTCAAACATAAAATGAGATTTGGAGAAGGCACTGTGAAGGATCAAACATGTCAAAAGTGGTTTATTTATGGATGATGTTTTCATGAACAGGTAGACCAGGTGAAGTTTACAGTGATCAAATGAAGACATTATTTGAAAACAACATTACAGAATATGAGAAAATGCCAAAATACATAAAATATCCAAACTAAGCATCAGATTGGTTATGATCAAATTGTTTTATGTGAGATTTCTGCATAAATAAAAAAAGCTTACTGAACTGTATTTCCATGAGCAATTAGTTAATAAACATACTGAAAATGTTTAGTCATTTAAACAAACTATGACAAGCAATGAAAAATGGATATTTTACAACAATGTGGAACATCAAACTGTTGGGCAAGTAAAAGGAACCACCACTAACTCCATCAAAGGCCGATTTTCAGCCAACAAAAATAATTATCTATCTGAATTATGGGAGAAGTTATCATCTTTTACCCTTGGACTATTGTGCTCAAAGATGAGGAAATAGTCAGAGTAAATAATGCAAATAAAAATAATACTGTGTATATGGTAAGATTGAAATGAGATCCAACCAGAGAACCAAAAGATTGATTCAAACAATTTTTACACCTAATTAAACTAACAATGGATGAAAATTGATAAGTATCATACTTCCAGCTGACAAAGGCAACACTACAGTGGTGGTGGACAAGTTTGAATCCTCTGAGAAATTGGCAAGCCTACTTATGAATGGTGGCTATAGCAAAGTGAAAAAGGATGTGAAACTGAGAGGAAGCTGTCACAGTGCCTAAATAAGAACAAGGACTACTTTACATTGAATAAGTATACACAGCTGATGCAATATTACACCAAGCTGTTACATATGTATGATCTCTCCAAGATTCACAAAGTCGGTATTCCACTGAGACCTATAGCCACCTGCTGAGCAGATTCCTAGTGGATATAGTCAATCAACAAGCTGGGGAGCTCTGTAGTAATCCGATGGTAAGCTTGGATGGTAAGCCTGTTTCTCCAGAGTTCATACAGATGAGGCTCTGTTTATGGTTCGGAACCGATTGGAATCAAAACCCTCCCTTGGAGAATGTACTAGCATTCCAATAGATAATCTGATAGAAATGTTGACGTTTTGTGTACAGACAGGAAAATTAAAATGAATAATCTTACTTGATGATATAATTCCGGGGAACTTCCTTTCCATATTGCACTTGCTCGTCGTATATATGGAGGTATCCAAGGTGACTTCAGCTGGGAAGCCAACTTGACCGCAATGGCACGTTGCAGCACGACCGATGCACCTATCAAAATAATAATTCTTTTTTATTTTTTTTTCTTAACTTTTAGGTAAATCTGCGACTACAAAACTAAAAAGCAAAGACACTATTAGTAAATGAACGTACTTAAAAAAAAAAGAAATGCAAGGTAGATAAATTAGTTTGTGGAAAAAAATACGAGTAACTTCCCTTCGATAAACATATTTATAACATAATACAAATTTTAACGCTACAATCTGTAAAATATAATACTGATAAAAAAATAAATTTATTCCATCAATGAGGATTTAAAATAAATATTTCCTTGAAAGTGAAAATAAAATCATACAAATGTCAGACATTTTTAAATACCACCTAAATATAAAGAAAGTAAACATTCTGTTCTTTGCTCTTATGTAAATTTCAAGCCATTTTGGTATAAAGCATATGTCATAGAGTAATCAATGAAATGCAAGAGCTGCAATTTATGAATGTTGCTAAGTGTGAAAGCTTGGTGATTCCAAATATCAGCCATAGATTTTCAAATTGATCGATTCATTCATTCATTTTCTGTGGCTTAACAACCCATTTGCAGATTATTTAAAGCCAGAATATATTTTTAGATTGTAATTTGGGGGTGTGATAATAATTATTCATTGATACAAGTTTTTACTAATTCTGGGGAGAGTAGAAGTGGATTCATAACTTTCCCAAGAGTATTTGTGCATAAAAGAAGATAACGAACCCAACTGAAACTGGAACTCGGCTCTCTAATTAACAACTCTAAGCCATTATCCATTATACCACCTGCACATGAAAGCCTACAGAACCTGGTATTGGGATTACTCTATGACATATGCTTTATACCAAAAAGTTCATTTCGCTTCCAGTACATATAAATATTGCAAGTTTAAAATAAACTTGTAACATTTGTTGAAATTCCTTTCATCTACCTCTTTTCTTTAAAAATATATCTGCATAAGGCGCTAGTCAAATTTTTTCTTGGAAAATCTCCATGACCACCTTAAGAAAAACATAATATTTTTCATTCTTAATTTTAAAAAAGTTGAAGGTAAAAATTGCTGTGAATGTGGCTTGTTTCTTTTAGGGGCACCTTGGCATTAAATATAGACATTGCAGCATTTTGCTGTGGTGCCACAGTCTAAACTCATCCCTGAATACCTGTTTAAATATACTTACATATGGCTTGTGTGTGCATGTGTGTATATATATATATATATATATATATATATTATTACATCCTTACACAGCCAATACCCCTAACCACGCACATTGTACACTTAGCAAACCATCTCTTTTTTCACCTCTATATAATGTAGTACATTCACTCACCCTCTCTCTTTCAATCTGTCATAGTAGTTGCCGATTACAAGAACAATTAGGTCATATCTAAAAATAGCTTCTTAGACACATGCAGAATCATGTACGAAACACTAAGCAGGAAAAAAACAGAAGGAATTATTTGGAACATGGATCTTAAGCAAGTAACATCTCTTGTTACTGTCAAGCAAAGGAAATCGCGCAATGAGGATGAGTTCCAATTTAATTCAAAAGACTATACTACTGAATATATCAAATGCATGGGTAAATTACTAAGCATGATAATCACCTAAGACAGGCATATGTGACCCACTCAATTGGACACATGCTATGACTTATACAGTGCCGAATCCTCCTATTCAAATTATGAATTCTACATTGCTGAATATGTGAAGAGAGTAAACAAACAACTCCTGGGGTCAAAACTCATAACAGTGAAGAAAGAATAATATAGCAAAAGATATTACTGCATGGGCAAAACAAACCAAATTGAAAGTAAAAAGAACAAAAGAGAAATATAAAACAAAAGAAAGAAAAATGGGAAAAAGAGAAAATCCTATTTTATTTCTGGTGAATAACTAAAGCTGTGTGCTTCGACTTTTCATATCAGATATATAATGCATACATCTTTCCACACAGAAATGTATAGCAAACATCTTTCCACACACTACCTTGCATTAATGTTTTCATGTATCATCTTGTCATAAATAAATCTTATTAAATTATATATTGGCATGTTCGTTACAGTCGGATGTTTCTGCTTATCCATGTAAGAGAATCCATTTAGTACAGAAAACCTTGGTCATATACTTTAACAAGTTTTTTTTTATCTTTTTTTTTTAAATTTTGTGTTGCAGCAACTGGTCTATATATATATATATATATATATATATATATATATATATATATATATATATATATATATAAAAGAAAAATATATATCTCAGAATATATATATATATATATATAAATTTTTATATATCGGAACAATTTTAGGCAACTGAATGAGACAAAATGGAAAAATTCTGTGTAATGCAATTTATCCTCTAGAAGGGCTTCACTGGACTAATGTTTTCATTGATGAAATTATGTGGGTAGGAGGGGGAGATAGAAAACTTCAAGTGTCACTCATAATAATGCAATGACAATAAATGCTGAAATTTAAAATTTTTAAATTAAAATATTCCACCTATCCCCACCAAACATGTCTCATGCCCAGGCATATACTTTAACAGATTTCATTTAACTATGTTTGCTCTCACTCTCTCTCTCTATATATATATATTATTTTCAGATAGAGTGTATCTGTAAAGGGGTGAGATGAATAAAAAGACCAGAGGGAATTTATCAAGCCAAATGTAGGGATTTATTTTGTTGCATGTGTTTATATACAAGAGCAAGGATTTCATTGGTTTTAAATTTGAGAACATTCATGAATATTCATCAGGTGGTTGAAAGGTCAGTCAAAACAAAGTGCCATAATTGTAAGTCTGGTAAGATAATAGTAAGCGAGTAATATTCAATAAATATTTTTTTTAATAAATGAATATTGTTTAAATTGTGATCAGATTATAGTTTGAGATGGATGTATGTGCTGTACACCTTGAAAAACATGAGGTAATCAGTTTAACGGTTTTCTTTTGATTTTATAACATTTTTGTGGTTGTGTATGTTGGCTTGGGAAAGTAGTAATTCTTTCAGGAAAGGTGAGATTATAAAGAAACCAGGGTGTAGATTATTCATACCTTTGTTGTATAGGATGCAAGCAGATTTTTATATGAAATCTTACAGTAGAAAAGTAGGTCTTATGCAATAAACAACATTTTGTTACATTAATATCAGAATAATAATACAGCACAAAGCATTAATTTAACAAAAGGATAACATTACTATAATCATTAAGAATAAAATTATTGTTCAATGATATATTGAATATTTATGCTACAAAATGAATAATATTGTAAATTCTTTTAATGGCTTTTAAATATTTACTTTAAGCCTACCATTCATTACTTTTTACAGACAAATATTCTTATTTTCTACAGAAAACAATATTTAACTCTTTTTCATTTCAAAAATATTATTTTTAAAAAAAATAAAAATGGTAAGCTATTCTTTTCTAAAGAAAAGAAAAAGAATAGCTTACCATTTTTTTTCTCTTTAGAACAAATGTAAATCTTAGACTTACTAAGAGGCTCATCTCTAGTTTCAGTAGATTCTTTAGGCACTTTCTCAATGAGGAACATAAAAATCTTTCGGATATCATTTTCATTGGAATAGAGAAATGTTTGATATCCAATTTCTCCAGAGTAACCAACTTCCTGTAAAAATGAATAAAAGTAATCTTTAAAAAGACAAAAAAAACAGAAAAAATAACAAAGATGTTTGTTTATACTTAGAATAAAATATTAATGTAACAAAAAAGATAAACGGAATTTTTTTTGCAGGGGGGGGGTTGAATAATTCAACTATGGTATTAATCTAATTTTGTAAAAAAATGGTAAAGCTGACTTATTTAAATGAATAAAAAAATTATACAAGAGAAACAATTTAGATTGAATTCATTTTTTCCTTTTTGCACAGTCTCTGGTGTATGTTTACTTTCTATATAAGGGAGATAAAAATATCACATTTTGATTTTAATTTCATTTTAATAACCACTTTTGTTTGTGCAAGAAGCAGTAGAAAAAAATTGAACTATTCAAAAACTGCAACCTCATAAAAAATATATAATAGACACTCCAAAAGTAATGCCTCCTATTTATTTTCATGGAAACTACAACAGGCAGCATAATAACACCTTTGGATAGAGTTAGTTTTCAACTTTTTCTTCTTTTATATGTTATGTCCCTTCAGGATGTGAGTGATCATGACTCCCCACAAGTTCCTATCTTGTGCTGCTCTTAGTAATGTTTGTCTTTTTATTATCCCTCCCAATAGCTATTTTGCCATCCATTCATATAAGGTTGTCAGGTAGGTACCCTGCTGCCTGCCTCTGTCCATTTTTTCTTCAATATATCCTATATGTGTCAAATTTTCCAAGCCCTCCTTCCTCATTATGCATCCCAAAAGTTTCAACTGTTTCTTTCTGATCTGGAGTATCAGCATCCTTTTTGTTTCTATTTTCCTTAAGACTTTATTGTTGCTTATGTATATATATATATATATATATTATGAAATGGACGAAGTCCAACAATTATTCTAAGACATTTTTTATGTTTATATGTTCTTTTTATAGATACAAATATTTAAGTAAATGCTCTGCTTATAATAAACAGTATTAACGACATTTATCGGCCTGAATATCCAAGAAATTTTCATAGAAAATATGCGTCCTCTGACAGGAATCGAACCTGTATCCTATATAGAACCGTCATATAGCCTGACGTGCTTTACCAATTGAGCCACAAAGGAGCGTTTCGGTTGTCCATTTCATAATGTGTGACGTCATTTGTTTACATTTGGATACACATTGAGTAGATATGAATGTATGAGAGAAAATCATGGAGAATTGTAGTATAAAAACAGTAAAATTGACCTTGCTAACTGAAACACTCCTCTGTGGCTCAATTGGTAAAGAACATAAGGCTATATGACAATTCCATATAGTATACAGGTTCGATTCCTGTCAGAAGACATATTTTCTATGAAAATTTCTCAGACATTCAGGCTGGTAAATGTTGTTAATACTGTTTATCATAAGCAGAGCATTTACTTAAATATTTGTATCTATAAAAAGAACATATAAACATAAAAAATGTCTTAAAATATATATATATATATATATATATATATACACACACATATATATATATATAATTAAAGGGAATCTTTAAGAATAATTTTTTAGAGTAACATTACCAGTTTCACAGTTCTAAGATTTTCAAAAGTTAAATTGAGATGGAGAGATGTGTGGCTGTACCATGATCAGTTTTGCATCTAACTGGAGTTGGAGAATTCTTTCCGATTTATGCAGAAAAAAATGTGGCTCCAATTGCTATCTGTTTAAAATGCAATCTGATTGGTTAATTATGATCACATGATCAGACATAGTAATTTTTGCACCAAAAATTGATGATCATTTGATTTTATTCAAAATTGGAAGTGCCGCAGTTCAGTGATAAGTAGTATATGGCAACAAAGTGTTAAATATAAGGGATTCAGTTTTATTGGACCTTAGTAGCAATCCCAAAAGGTTCAATATACAAGGATTAAATTTGTGTGTGTAGAAAAAGGTTTTAGTGTTTTCTACTTTGTTGAAATGTGGAGGATAATATGACATCAAGAAAAAGAGAACAATAATACAGGTTGAGATTCTTTTATCTGAAATTTTTGGTACTGGAAGTGCTTCAGTTTTCAGATTTTTTTTGATTTTGGAATACAAGCTATTTAATTTGTATATAGTATCTATAAAATGAGGAAGCTTGGGAATGGAACCCAAGTATAAACACAATATCCCTTTACATTTCATAACACAGCTTATACATATACCCTGAAGGTATTTTTATATCAATAACATGTACCTGGAAGATAGTTTTATATAAATAAAATATGCTCTGGAGGTAGTTTTATATAAAAATTAATAAATTGTGTACATACAGATACAGGTAATGATGTGGATTTTTAAGTGGAAAAATAAGATTTGACATAAAAATAATGTTTTGTACTTTCTGTACATGTACAAAAAACATGATCACTACTTACAAAAGATATATAAAGCAGGACTTTGATATTTTGAATAATATCTTTACTGAGCACGAAACACCTGGTAATTAATCCACAAACAAAAGTGTTGCCATGACGATCGCTAACAAAAAACTGGTGCCAGTGTAGTTAACATAGTCGAGCTGGGGAAAACCCACCCAGTGCAGATGAGATCACTTACAACAGCTGTACATAACCTAGGAACTTTCCCAGTGCTTTCTGAAATTTTCCATTTTTGGCAAATCATGTCAGCACCTTGAGGATTTTTGAGGCTTTCAGATAAAGGCTACTCAACCTGTAATAATGATGATGGTGATGGCAAAATAAACAAGAATTGTACATGAGTGTCTATGTGCATATAAATGTGATAAGGTTCAGTAAGTAACAAGGTGCACAAGAATTTTTATTTGAGTATGTGTTGGGTGTGGGGATGGCAGTTTATCATCTTAATAATAATGACAATAATAATAATAAATATAACAGCCTTGCTTGATCAACAAAAGTTCTTCGTAGTTGAGTCAGTTAAAGATATATATATATATATATATATATATATATATATATATATATATATATATATATATATATATATATATATATAATACAAGCAAATTGCATGTCGTCTGAACAACACATAATAACAGGTACTGTTCTCAATTCTTTTCTTCTATACCATTGCAATCAATGACCTTTTTAACTTCCTCTTATCTTCTTATATCAAACTGTCAAATTTATCCTATTTCAATTCATGTGAGGATTTTAATTAGTAACTGAATAAATAAAATGAACATTTACTGTTAAAAATACTAGCATAATACTAATATTTTTAAAGATCTTTATTATTTAATAATTTTAGTATAAAATAATGAATAAGACTAACCTTGATGTGATGTGCAAGAGCTGTTCCAATCCGATATCTTGCAGACATGCCTGCAGGTAATTTATTTGGAACATCCAAATCATTATTGATTGCTTTCAGACACTTGGCAGCAGCAAGGACAATCAAATCAGCAGAAAATTGCTTCAAGCTTTTAACATCATCATCAATTTCACTAAATACAAGAAAAAGAAAATATATACATATATATAAATAATACACATGCGCGCACACACACACACACATGATTTTTAAATGATTTTTTTATTGTGACGCTTTTTATTACTATGAACATTTTTTCTTTAGTGGATAAATGTGTTCAAGTTGCTAACCCTGTTTTTCTTTTTATTTTCTTAAACAGTGAAATTAATAATAACTGGTTATTATATACACTATTTACATTATTCGGACTATAGACAGATACTGAAGGATTGGTTATTATATTATTAGAGGACTTTAGTAGGAATTCTTAATCTATACTAGTTGTTATTAATTTTACTGCTTAAAAAAACACGCATAGCAACTCAAACACATGTATCCACTAAAAAGTAACGTTTATAGTAACAAGGAAAAAATATATAGTTTACAATTTGTTATATTTATATGAGAAAACTGCTTAATATCAGAGATAGAGCATTTATAGATATAGAAAGTGTGAATATAAGGATCAACACCACATAGTGACTGTCAGTTTCAATGCAATCTTCAGACTAAGTCTTTCTCTGAAGATGACACTGAAGTTTGAAACTGACAGTGTCAATGCAGTATACATTCCTATGTCCACATTATCTCTCTATCTCTATTATAGATAGGTAACGTTATGCCGAAAATTTCTTGGCCTGACCAAGAAGAAAATGACCTGGAGTCATGAAATGTGCATGTGATATTTCACATTCACTTGGCAAGTTCCACACACTGTTTCTCCTACTCCTTTTACCCTTTCTATACAAAGTAGTTGCTTATTTAGAAAGAGGGAGAGAGAATTTTAGTTATTTTTAATATACAACTAAAAATATTACAGAAAAAGAAAAAAATGAAAAAAATGTCTACAACTGCTGCTGGGAAGAATATCAATATATAATTTTTATATTTACTTGCATTGGGAGCATTCTATTTTTCTAATAATCTAATAAAAAGGCTAAATAAACAAACGACAATATATTGATCTTAAAAATGATGCAAGATATGATTTGGGGGGCCAAATGAGACAAGCAAAAATGATTTAATAGAATTGGGTAGAATGGTTATTATGATTTTGGTCACATGGTGAAACATGAACTCTAAATACAAAATTAAATACTTTGACAATATTTTTATAAAAAGCTACCTCAAATAGTTATTAATAGCTTAGAAATATTTCATAAAAAAAAATAATTTTTTTTCTTACCAGATTAAATAAACATTTTTCAAAAGAATCTGTAATTTTGAACATGAAACCATGAGAAAATGTTTTAGTTTATAACCTTGCAAATTATTAAAAACTGATTTTGAGGAATCAGAGAGCCGAATTTGAATTCTTATAGAGTTCATTACATTCACTTATGTTACAATCTCCTTGGGAAAGGTATGGATCTCTTCTCCCCCCAGCTACAAGACTGATTTCTATAGCCTTGGGTAGCAACCTGTCTAACAGACAGACAACTCTAAATTCAAAACCTCCAACTATGGGTTAAATAACCTTACCAAACTTCAATTAGCCAAACATGTTGAGTATGGCTGCACCCTGAAGACATGGTCAACCAAGGAGGGCTTCTTCAAACACAGGTGAGAAGGCCTTGTAATTGGATTTGGAATTTTAAGTTTTATAACATCAAAGAATCAGTTTCCAAATTTTTGCAGCGTTCAACTTGGCATATAACAAAATACCAGGTCATATTTTTATCACAACTCTAAGAAATAATAACTTAAAAGTAGTTTATGTTAAAATAAAAAATATCCTGTAAATGAAATCCAAATTTCATAACATTTTTTCTATGCATCTTCCACAAAATTTATTAAATTAGTGAAGTAAATCTGTAAAAAAATTTACTTAAGCTTTTAGCAAATGTTCACAAAAGTAAGAGATATATGAATATGTAGAATTAAGTTATTAAAAATGTTATATTGTGTAAAAGAGAGAGTCTGCTTTTATTTCAGGCACTATCTTGAATGTATGTGAAATAAAGGGTTTAGGTCAAATCATTGGAGCCTTTTGTCAAAGAGTGAAAAGAATTGTTTTTAAAAGTTATCCTTTATTATTTTTTTAAAATTTTCAAACATAAAACCAATCTAATATTTTTAAGTTTTATTAATATCACCTATTAAAAAAAAAAAAAGGTGGTCACAAAATTATTTTTTGGCAAATTCAAACAAACAAAAAAGTATTTATGCAACATAAGAAATTTTTTAAATGCTTTTCAAACAGAATTAAGAAATCAGTAAAACCTGAATTTTAATATTTTAAATTTTACAATTTTTCTTTAAATGGAATTGATGAGCTCTTCTTAGTTCAGATTCTGACTGAGACAGTTAGGAAAAGCAAAACTGTTTCTTTGCTCCCACTACTCCTATCTATGGGCTAAAACAGAATAAACTGGTTTCTATAGCTTTGGTTAGCAACTAGTCTAGGAAAAAGACAACTGAATTCAAAATTTTCTTTCACAAGAACACTCACGAAAATGCAGTTTACAATTTTAGTTTACAGATATTAAAAAAGGAAGCTGTGGAGAAACACGAAATTAATATTCTGAAAGATGACATTTCATTTAGGGAGGAGAAAATTTTCTTGTGATCCTAAAATGTATTTTATTAGTTTTTAAGAGTTTCAAATATAAAATATCTAGAAGAATTTAGTTTTTAGAAAAAAAAAAAAACATCAATTATTTCAATTATCTAATATGAAATTATCTTTAAACAAGTGAAACAAATAAAAATGCTAAAAGTAGAGATTTTTTTTCAAATATTTAAAAGGCAATAATTCAATTATGACAATGAGGTAGAACTTATAAAAAGGTGGTCAATGCATAATAATTGCTACCTCCATGGACATTCTAAAAAAAAAAAAATGAAAAGCAAATTTTCAGTTTTTCAAACATATCTTTCAACTTTATCAGCAACGACAAAGTTTTAAAAGACTTTTATTAAAATCGTCTGTAAAAATTAAAAATGCATATCAATTTTTCAGACAAAAACTAAAAACACATTTTTATTTTCCCGTGGAAACAAGAAATATACAATATATTTTTTTTAATAAAATTAGGTATCAGCAACTCTCCACAAAAAATAATTCAAGCCTGCAAGAATTTTCTTTAATTCTGTTGAACTTTTCTCGAATTTTCGATGTGTTCACAATCGATATTAAATTTTTTTAATAAACAATACTAAACACCTAAGGTGATTTTGCTTTATAAAAAAAAAAATGCAATAGAGGAACATCCAAAATTTATTGTTATTAGCTACGAAAAAATACTTCCAGTAAAACTTAAAAAAAAAAATTATTCAATATAAAGTTCATTCATTTTAAATGCTGGATAATCTCAATGAAAATCCGGCAAATCCCAGATTTTTGGTAATTTTTTTTAAAAAAATAGGTGGTTTTGGTTTGGAGGGGGGCGGTTGTCACACGTCGAAAATGTGCCCGATTTTGATTTTGGAGGGACAGAAAAATCATTACTAAATAAATATTAAACGGTTTTTTTTTGGTTTTTTTTTTTACAATGAAAACATTTTTTTTATTGTTGTGCTTTCTTTTGAAAGCAAAAAAATTAGGTGCGTCTCGACAAGTTTTGTTTTATTGTCAGAACCGGCATTTAATTCTCAAAATTAATAAAAAAAAGAAGACATGAAGATGAATTAAATATTTCTGAAAATGAATTAATTTTAAGTTTTTATTTGTGATAAAGCTTATATTTTTTATCATCAGTCATTCATGCAAGACAAGAGAGAACACAAAATAATACTTTTTTGCCAGATACAAACTCGTTAAAAGAAACAAGTATAATAAAACCAACTATGAAATTTAATTTTCCAAATACTTATTATATTCATAACATTTAGTGTGAACTTTACTATAGAGTGTAATATTGTAAAGTTCACACTGTGTAATTAATAATTACATGAAGAATGAATAAGGTAAACCACCACCCACTATGAAGGAGATTATTCTGCTTTCACAATGTTTTTACACTAACCTTTTAATGTGTAAACATTACTAACGTAAACAAAGAAAGAAAAACGACAAGTTTATAGATCTTTTAAGAAATATCGATATAATACTTAATGAATAAAAATCAGTTCTTAATAAATAAGTTTACCAGTGAAGAGTACGGAGTGAGTGGATTATGATTTGGTCTACCTCCTCCATCTTTGCAGACGATCATGTGGTTTCCTGCCCGACAACTATGAACTAAATATTAACATATCGTTGATACAGATAAAACTTATTTATATTTTTAAAAAAATCATAAAATAATTTATAACGAAAATAATCGAAACATGTTCAACGTGTGGGTCCCTTTTGGAATGTCAATGACGTAACGAATTTATGCGTTGCTATCATGCACGAAGCCATTTCTGAAGTGGATTTTATTCATACTTTTAAAAAATAATTGTCTTGAATTGTGGACGTGAAGGAGAAATTAAATTACGCTATTCAATTTACAAGGGACCTACAATTTCACTACGTGGCAGGTTTATTTTTACAGGACCAGAATTTGCCACTTAAATTTCATAATCTTTTCTTTCTTCTGGGCTTGTGAAATTCCCGTTTGTGATGTGTTGACTTTGTAACGAAGCACACAATAATTTGGTATGGATACTTGCGAGACGTCCGTTCAAATCAATTAAGGTACTTGTCTGAAAGAGTGATTTTAATTTTATACTGAAATAACATCATTTCTCTATTTTATTTCTGCCTATACGAGAAAAATAGTTGGAGCCATGTATGCAATTTAGTAAAAATACGAGGCGCAAACGATGACTTTTTTCTGTATTTTTTAAATACCGAAATAACTTCATTTTTTTTACCATAACGTAAGATAAGCTTTTTATTTATTTAATTTCAAAGTAGGTATTTAACAAATTCAATTCATTCGTTTTATTTCTATCTACTGAAATGACGTGTAACGACAGTCGTAAACAAAACCTCTTCGTCTATGATGAAAGCACTATTATTGGTGACGTCATCACATTCCAGATGGGACCAATCTTTTACAAAGTGCCTAATTAATCCTGTCAGTGTCTGGAGATCGACCTACAACATTGACTGTTAAAGGCTGTCTTTTTTGGCACTATATCCTCAAAGTGAAATTTTCTCGTGATGATCCACCGAGAAAATCTTTTGTGTAAAAATATACATTTTACCCAGAACGATTATTCAGATTATTGTAAATAAATATTATTACCAAATGTTGCTGACATTCCAGTGGCCCCACATTGCATTCACCATGCTGTCATCAACCATTCCGAAAATTTAATTGACCTATCTTCAGTCTTCTTCACTAATGGAGAAATTGCAAAAGGTTCAAATGTCGAATGTGCAAAACTCCATGTTTTTGTTTTTATATCTCAATAATTTTTTTATTATTTTTTAAATTAGTGAGATACGAACACGAATTTGTTTCACCTCTTAAATTATTTGGTTAAAAAACTAAATTGCCTATTTTTGTAATAATAGTCTTTCTTTATATGCCTCAGTTTATTTGGAAAATTAACTCTTCAAAGTTTTTTCTTTGTGTGTGTGTATGAGCGATTTACAAGTTTACTGTTAAACTGGACCCTTACTTTGTGTCCGTCTTCATTTTTAAAAATATCTGGTCTTTCTCGATAGACCATGACTGAATGACCATATCACTTATGAAATATAAAAATTATCAATTTAAATAATTTTTTTAAAAGTAAATTTGGACTATTCAAGAAAGAGTAGAAAAATAAAATTTCCAAGGCAGATAGAACCTAGAAAATCTTAGTAATGGCAAATTATTCAAGACAATTAGAACACTAAAAAAAAAAAAAAAAAGAAATTAGTCAGAATAATTATAATAAAACTTTAGAAAGAACCTTGCATATCAAAAATGTGTCGGACTGTAAATACTTTAAGATTCATAAGATTTTTTTAACCATTTTTGTTCCATTACACCAAGGACCAAATCAGGTTTAAGTTGTCACCAACTTTCATAAAATTCAATTTTTGTTTTTTAACAAAAAACAATTCACCAACTATCGTGCAAATACTTGACACTGCCAGTTCTCACCTAAGTATTCTTCTATAGTATTCTTTCTTCGATCAAAATATACAATATATTTCTTCTTGCTATTATGAAAACGAGCAGATTTTTTTAATTTCTTTCATCCATTGTCTCCAGTTATCACTGCTGATAAATTAAGCATAAACTTTAAAAATTTAAGTTACTGAAAACTTTCAATGTAAAGAATTTTATAAGGCCCAGTTCCGCATGACACAACTCTATAACATTCATAATTTTAAAAATATAGCAGCCCTTTAAAAAAAATGATAGTTGATTTTTTTTCTCCCCCTCCAAGTCAGTTTATGTTGTTATTAAAAAAAAAGGCTTATAAATGACTCACTAAAAAATTTTTTCTTTAACTTCCTCCAGATTTTTCTATAAAAACGGATATAAAATCAGGCTCCATTTTAAGTTGTGAATTGAACATCTGATGTTATTTCAGATGTAAGCACATGATCCATTTTAGTATTTATAAGGATATAAATGGAAACTATAGATAGAATCAATTTATGTGGTTTCACCTTAAAAGTTTAATTTTCTCAAATGAAATTTTAAAAAACCGTGCCATTTTATAAAGAGCAGAAACAGCTGCATCAGGTAACCAAGAAAGAATTGTAAAGAAATTGTTTTAACTGAATCATTACTGTTTTTTGTAATATAACAGTAACACTGTTTTTGTGACATTTTAAAAATAGTTCCTCACATGTACATTGTTTTTCTTGTTCTTTTCTTTTGTAATAAATAAAACAAAAACAGTACATTGTACTGTGACCTGTACAGTCAGGTAAACTTCAGTCCCATTTTAACCTTATGCATTTGTTTAATAAAGTATATTTTTGTTTCAATAATTTAATATCTTCATTCCTCATTATTGCAAAGCTGTGGTCATTGTTATTTTTCATTACTGCAAGCAGTTGGTGCTATGAATAGTTAGCATTTTTCTGTGATGTAGTTTACGATATTGAGTCTCCCTCCCACTGGGGCAACATGTGACACAAGGTCGGTTTTTTTATTGTGGGATTCCCGAGCCCGTGGGCTCGGCCCAAAAATATGCCCGTTTGAACCCGTATAAACGGGTTCGGGGCCTGTTTTTACCTCCCGAAGGAGACTCCGCCCTCGGGCGTAGCCTCCTTCGGGGTTCCTCTCCGTCCGAGACAGAGAGTTAAACTGAGCAGTCTGTTCAAAAAATGTAGTTTACATTCCAGCACAGACCACAATACTTGACTGTGTGTGTGTAGCCCCTGTTAGACTCCTTCCAATATTTCAAGGGGTTATAACATAAGAGTATGCAGGTATGAGAAATCTGATAAAGAGGGAATCTTGTTTTATGGGGAATATAGAGTTTCTGAGCTGTGCATTAGCTCAGCTCAGAAACACCATCTACCCCATAAACAATCCATTTAGAAGGAAAACAATTCAAATCCCTGCTCTCTTGGTTTTACTTGGCTGAAGAAGAAAAAAAGACTAGTAGGTAACTCTAATATAAGACTCTCTAAGCCAGAGATGTTACTTTGGTTTGTCTTTTGATTAGTTGGCTTTGTTAGAGATAATTCTTTGCAAGATTAAGTAAGTTGCACAAGACATGGGCATTTTTAACATGTACAAATTTAATGTTTATTATTGTTGTGTAGCTTGTCATTGCCTGACCTGTTAAGTCCTATGGGAAGGTGGTAATAGGTACCTCCAACTTGATGAGTTGGAGGTACCTGGTCACCAATCTATCTGCACATGGGTGACCATTTGGTAGATATAAAGTCATTTCTTTAGTAGATGAGGTAAAGGTGGGGTTTGGTTGTTCCATCAGGTGTCTGAGCAGACCTTTATGAAATAGCATTACTCACCAATTCTTTGGAAGGGTTTAGAAAAGGTAAACTAAAACTTGTGCTTATCTAAAAAAAAATCTGGTCAGTCCAGCACTGGTGAGGGATGGCCATTATTATCCAACAACACGAAAAGCAAAAAATTTAAGAAAACAAGTGTGAACACTTTTTGTTGGAATGTACAAACTTTAGTTGATGACAAGGATTTGCCCTTACATTAAAAACAGCCATAGTTGCTAAGGAATTACAAAGATATTCAACAAACAATACTGCATTATTGAAATCTCATGTGCTGGGAGATAGGAAAATCCAGGAAATAGGATGAGAGCTACACAATCTTTGAAAGAAAAAACCAGGACGAAGAATGAGAAGCAGGTATTGGATTTGCCAACAAGAACACCGTGGTGTCAAAATTATTGAATTACCATGTGTAAATGAGACTCCTGACCTTTCAACTAAAATTAAATAGAGATCATTCTGTTATACTGTGATCAGTGTATATGCACCCACTCTTGATAGTAGCAAAGATGCAAAACTTACATGGAACATTAAGGAAAATTCTTTGTGGGGGTTCCAAGTTCTAACAAGATTATTCTCTTAGGAGATTTAAGTGCTAAAGTTGCTACAAACTGGCATGCATAGAATTATCTCAGACAACATGGAATTGGAAAAATGAATGGAGACAGTTTGCTGCAGCTTCAACTTTCTATAGAGATGAACATATTTAGATCAAGTACAAATACAAACAAGATCATGTTTCAATGTGAATGCATTGTCACTCGAAAATAATGGCACCTTAGAGATTATCAATTGTTTGATATTCATTGTGCATTCACTAAAAGCTGTGGACTGCTGGTCAGATCTTGCTCTTGTAAGAGTTAAGCTTTGTATGATTGTTTATCAAAGATACAGGAGATCTAACACTAAGATTCTTCCAAGCTAAAAGCTTCTGTCATGCAGGAATATTTTCAAGAATATCTCTCCTTTATTCAAGATCCCTTTTCTTCTTGGTGAGAGTTACAAGAATAATTGTATAAAGTTTCTTCAGATACCCAAGGGTTTTCAGAAAGCTGAACATCCTGTCTGGTTCAATAAATGTGATGCTAGGATAAATCAATATTTTAAAGGTGAAATAAAACAGGCAATTCTTCAAACAAAATTATCAGCTGAAAACCATAATATACTGAAAGAAAAACTTATGAAAATCAAGACAAACATAGAAAAGTCAATAAGAATCATGAAAAACTATTATTGGAGAATATTTTCTATGGATGTACCTGCAGAAAGTCACATAAAAGACTTCTACATTCTTATCAAAACAGCTTATGAAACAAATCTACATCAAAAACTTTGCTTTGATTTAGTCATGGGGAGGAAATGTTTTTATAGCTATGGAGGACATTGCAAAGTGATGGAAGGAATATTTATTACAGCAAAAAGGCCATCATAAACAAGGCAAAACACTGGGCAAAATATCTGCTGTGATAATTGTAATATTGGCTGCTTCCTTATAAGTAAACATTCAACATTCTTTGACCAAGCAGCTTATACTATTTTTGGTTGAAATTTATAATCTTTCTCTTTAAATAATTTTTCAGGAAAATAGGTCTCTCAAGTACAGTAACTGTTATCACTCTTTCCAGTATTGATGGGGGTTTCCTTCCTAATATTTTATTTGAAGTAGTGTGAAATGCTAACATTTTGATTATATCATTTTCTCTTTGAAATTACATCTTTACATATGATATCCATTTTAGCTGTTGTTGATTGCAACTGTGTTCAGTTTTCATAGCCATCTAGAAGTTATGATGAGAGTACAATATTGCAGACTTTCAGTTTGGTGAAGCAAAAGTTTTTGTGTTGCAGAAATTAAATAATTATTTCTGAGCCTTCCAAGTGCCTGGCTTATTTTCTGATATAATTTCTTTATCAAGGACACTGTCACTTGAGAGTACTCTCCAGGTATTAGAAATTATCAATATTGTGGCAGGATGCTATTAAGAACAGACTACTGGACAATTTAGAGCTATCATACCAGAATGTAGCTAAAACATCAGAAGCCATAAGTTTTGACATAGTATAGCTAAGTACTATTTAAATTAATTTTTATTTGAATAAATTTTTCATTATTTTCTCAGTCTTTATTGAAAATAATTAAATTAACCATTATTAATTGATTAATTAATGCAGCTAATTATAAAATGCTATATGTGAAATAAATAATTAACTAATCAAACTGCTCTACTTTTGTTAATTTCACTTATACCATTATAACAAATCTCTCAAAGAAACATCTATATTATTCAGAAGAGAAAAGAAAATATATGCCCAGGATGTCAGATATCCTTGTTAATAAATAAAATATTTAGTCAATCCTTTACAAAATTCTATTTTCTTTAAAAGAATTCATTACATTATGGATTCTATCTAAATAAAACATCATTTACAATAAATAGCTGCTTAGTAGGACCAAAGTGTACAAGAACAGAATCAATTGGATGTAATATCTGTCTGAATTTATGGGATGAAGTGTTAATTTTTTAATTAATGTCATCTTTCTTGTTATTACCACATTTCAGTTGTTGTAGCCTCTAGCCTTCTTCAGTACTGTCAATCCCAGTAATCTTCAGGTGATTTCAAACTTAACCCATTACAAGAGTAAATTGTTTTTATTCTGCTGCCCATGTCTTGGGATAATTCATTTTTACTTTTTTTTTATTATTACTGCTCAGTTAATTGTTAGTCCTGTGCTCCACTGAGTGAATTTGTACTACCTAGTTTGGGACTGAACACACCATTACAAATCCTGTAGACTATTGTCCCATGGGACAATCCTTAATCTATATATCTTGATGTATTATGTTGTTTTCTTTTTACACTTTCATCTTTTTTTTTTTTGTATTTGCTGTAATCATACATTAAGATAGTATATGATTTATTACTATTGAATAATCTTTGATAATTTAATATCAGATTAGCAAAATTAGTAAAATTCATCAACAAAATTATATCATTTTAAAATCTAGTATCCAACAGCAAAATAGTTATGGTCTATAATATAACATATTAAATCTTTCTACGGCTAAAAAGAAACTAAAAAATATAAAAGTATTTTTACAAACCAATATAACCACTGACCAAAGAATTTTAACTTACATTATAAGGTTTTCTTCTCCAAGAATTTTAAGGAAGAAAAAGTAAAAATTTGTGTTTGTGTAAAAATTATCAGTGTTAACAGAAATTCATTGAAATTTGAATTCTATTTGTGTTGTGGCTAATCTATAAATATACTGAAAAGTAATATTCTGCTTTCAAGCTAAGTAGATTGTTGATTTCATCACATACATAGTGAAAAGATAATAGAACCTGTTTCTCTGAATGTTCTCTTAGGATTTATTGAGCCAGAACAAATAATAGACAAGCAGTTGAATGAACAAATAATCACAAAAACATTAGTAGTTAGTCTATTACTAATAAAATCTGTAATATGACAAAGTTGATATCCATTTAAGCTAAGTTAATGAAATGACTTGTCTTTGTAGCAGTAAAGTAGGACTTTATTGTCCTTGGTAAGATGGGTTTATTTGTAGATTTTTATGGATGATGAAATCAACAGGTTATATCAAAACCATGTCCAAATATTGTTACCAGGAAATTGACACCTTATTTTTTTTAAAAAGTAAAGTTTTGTTTTGTCTAAAAAGAAAAGGCTAAACATTTTTTTCTAAAGAAAGAAAAATGTTTTTGTTAATTATAATTAAAAATTGTATTGTTACAAAGTTAGTGTTTATTTTAATGACCAATAAAACCAGTCATTACATCATATAATAAAAAAAAAAAAAATGGGGTTTATAATCCTCAATAGTGGAACACTTGCATGGTGGAACTAACTGATTCTGGCTGAACCATATTTTGCTAGACACTCTAAATACTATTTGATGTCAGAAGGGATGCAAATTCCCAGAAATTAATTTTACTTTTAGACAAAGTTTTTTACCAGTTTGTAATAAAAAATTTTAACATCAAATTCAACAAGATGTTAATGCTTGAAGTGTTCTTGTGTCTAATCCAATAAAAAAAAATGCAAATAAAATATCACAAATTTAAAATAAATATACAATCAACATTCAAACAGATATTGAAAATTTCTCAGTTCAACTCACTTCCAAAAATCAGAATATTAATTTTGGGATGTGGGTCTGGCTGAGAAATTTTCAGATGCCCACTTAAAAAAAATGAGAATGAAGAAAATTCAGTTTTACTATGGTTGGATAATTTATTCCCAGATAAAAATTGTGATTTCTATTCAACATATACAATGGAGGTTGAAAATAAGAATTTCATGTGAATGAGGTGTGTTCAATTTGATGGATATTCACTCAGATATTCTGATACATGCACACGATTATGTAATTCTTTGTCACCACAAAAGTAGATCCGAATTGGAAAGAATGAAGGGGTGGGGAAAGCATCATGGGAGCATCTCTTCATCTCATGCACTCTCTCACACACACACAAATCTATCCATCCATGAGTATTTACAGATTAGACGTATTGACATTATGTAGACACATATATACATGCATTATGGACAGATACAAATAGTAACAGTTACATCTGCAGTCACTTCATATGTATCTGAAACATAGATAACAAAATTAAATGTCCATTTTGATATTTAGAATTGTTTTTACCCCTTCTCTTGTGATTTGATAACACATCTGATTAACAGCAGATTATTGACTGTTAGAAAATGAAAACATTCAATCAATGGCTCTAACACTGCATGAGAGGAAGAGATGCAATATTGAAGCTAGCCAAAATTTGGGGGTAAGGCTCAATCTGGTACAGCCTTGTTTTATTTTGCAACAAACATGCTGAAAATTTTAACCGGGAACTAAAACTAAACAGCATAAATGATTAATTCATGTCTTAAAATTGAATAAAGATGAGAAACAGCTGTTTGAAAAAAAACAAAATGAAAACGGGCATATCAACTTATATAAATATCACAGAGTAAAAAATTACTCAAATGAAGATGCAGTTTAAAAAAATTGATTGCTTTCAAGAAGTTATGATAAACAATAGAATGATTTGTGTTGTTGCCCGTTCTCTAGTTTCTGTAGATAACAGTTGTATGTTGGCTGCTGGATGGAATAGTTCTGGTAGAACTGATATAAAAAAGAAAAGAAGGAAAGCAGTGGACAGAAGAGAATAGGCATAGATTTAATATAAAAAATCTAAAAGAAAGAGTTTACTTCTGGACCAACTTTAATGGGAACACAGTAAACTGTAACAGTGAATCAGAAGTGACAACTCGATCCCAATAAAGTTGTTTTATATTTTAAAGTGATTTTAATTTTCATTCTTCAGATGACCAGATGCTCAAACTTTAGATAAGAATAAAAAATTAACATCTATGCAAGTTCCCATGAGGTTTGAAATGAGAACCAGGGACATTATATAGAACAGGTGAAAATGTTCTTTTGAATGTACTTAAAATAATTATTTTAATTTTATATAAATTAGTTGTGATATAGGTAAAAATAAAAGCTAAACACTATTCTATGAATTAAACTCAAACATTTCTAATAGAAAATATATTTCTTAAAATGCTTAAAATACCAATATGTGATTATAATAATGATAGAACCTATTTATTCCCACATCAAATAAAGGTATTGAGCAAAAGAGTTCTTTTCATAACAGCAGTGGGCAGGGACATTGAAGTAGGGAGCACTGAAATGAAGATGTCCCCCTTGAGATGCAAACTGTTTTGTGGCTTATGCATTTCATTTCCTTTGGCTTGTTGCTGTGTAAGCAGAAGGACAAAAGGAACTTTGTCTTTCTTGCTTATGCCTGATTATTTCCTCCACTTCAATGGTCAAGAAGGGAAAAGATAAACAGAGAGAGAGAGAAAGATATCATGATTTCTGGTCCTGTCTGCCCTAAATAATAGTATCAGTTGTATTAACCAGAGCAAGCAAGTTTGGCAGCCAACTTCAGCTTTGTCCAAACATAAGCACAGAATGAAAGGCTTCAATCTGTAATTATTTTTTTCTTTTCTTGGAGGGGGGGAAAATTTGCTTTCACATTTCCAAGTTTTCTTCATGTAAAAAGAAGAAAAGCTAATTAAAAAAAAAATTGAAGTAATTTTTTTTTAGCTGGGTACAGTTTCAATGTGTTTTTGATCAAACCGACTTTTGAAATTCTTTGCCATATAGATAAAATATGTCAAAGCTTCTTTCTCTACAACTGGGATGGTCTTAAAATGTCGTCCAACACTCTGAAAAGAAAAAAATGAATAATAAAAGTATTAAAATGTAACAATAAGAATATCATTTCTTTGCTTTTACACAAAGAAAAAAAAAGCATACTATTGTTTTTGTTTTTTTTTTAACCGATAAAATGTTATATACTTTATAGGTAACTAATTAAATAAATTCCCAGAATATTGGTAAAATCTTGGGAAAAATATATCCAAGAATTTTTTCTTAGACTATCTTTTAATGATAAAGCATTTCAACATTCCAAAATCAAATCCAGCTGAAATTATGTAAAACAAGTAAAACTAAACTTCACTGTACTTTTTTTTTTTTAAAGACAAAAAGAGAAAAAAAAAATATAAGGCTGCTGAAAAAGTTCTCAGACCAACCAAGTGAGGTTTGGTAATTTAGTTAGATTTTAGGAAGTGAGTCAGGCTAAGAACTTTTTAGCAGCTCCTTGTACTTTTGAAGTAAATATTTTAAATGAAAATCTTCAAATCATAAATTCATTATTTATGCATAATTATGAAGTCCTTCAAAAATTACTAAATACATTTAGTATTAACTAATTCTATTTAAGCATTTCATTGAAAATTTTAAAATGTATTTTACGCAGATTATATGGAAAACTTGTAAAATTAGTTGTACATTTGGAAGTCATTCAATCTTAATTTTGTATAAACACACATGCTTACAAAGCATTTAAAATAATTCAGCACTATCCTCCAATTGAATTGTTTCTTCTATTACATCAAGTGGTAACAACTATTTGGCTGAATTACTAAAATAAAATGCATTTTTATATATATATATATATATATATATATATATATATATATATTACATACATACATGAAAGTGGGCTGAAACATTCACAGGCTGACTATGAAGCAGAGTGATGCTAGAGCTGTGAAATCTTGCATGCATTCATTTCAACTCTTCTTATTAATAACTACATTGTTTCTTTCAAAGTAAACTGACATCTGACTTTTCAAAGAAGACTTCAAAAGTAACTAGTAGCAACTTGTCTTGAAAATGGACAAAAATTTGACATAACATTATCAAGTACCTGTAGAAAAAGGGTTCAGCCCCCAAGGACATTCAAGTTGACATGGTTGCTTGATCATGTTTACCACATGGTGATGGATGATAGGCAATTGACTATAAATCAAATAGCCAATGCTATTAGCATATCCTGTGAAAGAGTTGAGAATATTCTACACAGTGAACTTGACATGACAAAGGTTTCTTCTTGGTGATTGCTATGTTTTCTGTCACCTAATCAAAAGTGCACCAGGCTGATCACATCATGGGAAAATCTGACATTGTTTGAGGCAGATACAGCTGGTTTCTTTGAACATTTCCTAATCTCGGATGAGTTTTTGGTTCATCACTTTGAGACAATCCATGCAGTGGAAACACCCCTCCTCACCTGCTCCAAAGACGGCCAGGGTCGTTTCATTTGCTGGGAAAACTTTAGATTTTTGAAATGCAAAGGGGGACTATGTTGAAAAATAAACCTCATTTGGTCACATTCAATTCAGAGTATCTTGGTCAACTGATGACCTTTTCATTTGATCCTCATATATATATATATATATATATATATATATATATATATATATATATTAATTGATGAATATCAAACACTTAAAATTCTTAAAATTAATTAATAATTTTGCTCTGACATAGGATATAGATCCAAGGAGAGCTCTATCAGAAATTCCATACAGATTGCCAGTTTATATATATATATATATATATATATATATATATATATAAAACAGGAACCAAACCTGTATTTCCTTTTAAATGTGTGAAATCACTTTCAAGTCAAATATACTTTGCCATTAATCTACAGGGAGCCATAACAGCAAAAGCAACTATTTAAGAAATGCACATTCCTCATTGGGACCTTCCTGTTCAGAGATACATTTTCTTGAGTAAAACTAACAATCTCTGGGATGGTATACATTAATTTCACTATTTAACAAAAAAAAAAAAAGAATATGTCTACAAAAATGCATGTATTTTTAAAAGGCAATACATCACAATAACACACCAAGGTAAAATGAGGACAAATTGAGTATAATTTCACTGTCCATAACATTTACTTTAAAAGAAAGCTCAATACAGAATAGAGCTAAATATTATTTATTTTAGGATATTAAAACAAAAAACATGTTAAAAATCGCTACACAATGGCAATTATATTTCAACACTACAAATATGTCTTCTTGGCAATGGTAAACTATTGGTGAGTGAACAATTAATTTAATTTCAAAAGCAGAATACTTCCTCTTTTTTCAGAAAAAAAAAAAAAAAAAAAAGATTAAAAATGGGCTTTACCATGATTAACCAATCAAATATGACCCAAACTAAATTCAAACTCACCGAGAAAACTTTTTATTATATAGGTCATTACATGAAGCTGTCTGCATATAAATCCTAGACAATTTCATTATGAACAAATACAAATGGTTACATTATTTCATAAGATGTATAGAAGCCTGGCATTCAACTTTCCTAAGTGAAAGCAAAAGAGATAGGGATGTAATTTAACATAATACTAACTAGTTATGTGCTTGGTCAGCTTCCTATATAAAATTTTGTAGTTTATAAATAAAAGGCCCCTTTAAGAAACTGGTAAATAACTTAGGAGTTTGGGAAAAAAAAAACAAAAAAAAAAAAAAAAAAAAAAAAAAAACATCATAAATACAAAACTATTTTATGAAAATTAATATGCAATCATTAAGTAAAGAGCATCCATATAAGATCATAATATTAACTAATCAATGTAAGATGTTAATACTAACTAAACACCTGTACATTCATACAAGATATTAATAATACTAACTAAACATCAATACAGAGCTATATTAAATCAAAATGTATCTTAAAAATAGAATAGTAAGCTACATAAAGGTGCACCGCAGTTCATCTACTGATTATTACTATAAGAAAACGTATTACCAAATTCAAAGTTTAACCATATTGTAAAGTAAAAGGTAAACTATGCCTACAATTTACAGTCAATTCACTTCATTGGTATAAGGAGTTTTTATCAGAAAATCTGATAATTTGTAATTTTTCATGTAAGTATAAAAAACGGTTCATTAAAAGATCTACATGTTCTAGCTTTTTTTAAAAATTTTCCATTTTACCTTAGGAGTTTTATTAGCTTCTTTTAAATTCCAAAAATATTTAGAAAGAGATATACTAATTTTATAAGTAGTATTGATGAAGGATAAGTTATGTTGGTACCACCTAGTCTTAAAAGAATTCTTAGTACTACCAATATAAAATTTTTCAACGGTCAGATTCTCTATTGTAGAAATAGTACTTAGATAAATAAGAGTTGGTTAAAAAAACAAAAACAAATGTTTAACCAACTGTTAACCGCTGTTGTTTACTGCCGCAATCAACAGACAGAGACTGGTAGTTCCAGGAATAGCTGCTGTTGTTTACTTGTGCACTCATCGTGTACACAAATGCATTGCCTATCAAACATTTTATACTGATTTTGGTTGAGTATACAGTATTGTTTTTTGTCAAGCCCTTCACTAGCAACTGTTGGGGGGGGAGAAGTGGTGGAACAGCTGAGAATGTCTAATGTGCGTGATTCTGTTGACACTCTTGATGTGACCAAGAATCTGGAAATTAAATCATTATCAACACCTTCAAACATTAAGGGAATTGATAATTCACGAACAGTATCAAAATGGGAAACAAAGTTGGATTCGTTCCAGCCCAAACAGGCAGCTCATGAAAGCGACCCCGACTTGCTGCCACCGCCACCACCACTTTCTCCCACCTGCACGCCATTATCACCCCTCTAAAGCAGCAGCACTGCTTCGGAGGAGTTCCATGGTTTCCAGTAATTACTACTGTGAGGGCCCACTATACGATCACAACACTTTCACAGCAGTATTAGGCCATCACAGCAATGTTTAAAGGTAAGTTTAGGTAAAATTTCAAACTTTAGTTAAAAGGTATATAGTCACTTAAAAATAAAATACACATACATATATACCATATTTACATTTATTTACAATAATTTTGTACTGTACTAGGTGTTTTTAGACCACAAAAAAGTGGCTTTATTGATGACCTCCTCCCCCATTTTGTCCATTAAATTGAGGTTCTACTGTTTCTATTAAAAAAATATTAGGAAGGAGGGAATATTAATAATAATATTTTTTTTAAACTAAGGAGAGAGGCAATGTTAGAGAGGATGTAAGAGTGAGAGAAAAATATATTAATATAATAATAATGAGGGGAGGGGCAAATCAATATTGGAGGAAATGTAAGTTAACAATGGTAGAGAGAATGTAAGGGGGAAATTAATAATAAAGGGAGAGGCAAATTAAACTTTGTATATTTTTACAAACACACACACATACATGTCAAATTTAATCTTAAATATTTTAATGTCTCTAAGATATAAAAACATGGATATATACACAGGAACACAGTTTTATTTGCTTAAACATTAATAAGAAGCAATAAAGTCGTGTCATATAAGAGGGAACATTACCTATATAGAGTTAGACAAATGAATTGCTGATTCCCTAGTAAATTGCACACAAGTTACAAATAATGTGGATATAAAGTAAAAGAAAAACTTACTTCAGCTAATTGAGCCTTATTAGTTCCAGGTCGAGTAGGTAACTTAAAGTGTCTTCTGTATCTGCGAAGAGTGTTTACTGGCATTTGGAAGAAATCAATCTAGACAAGGAAAATACAGTAGTAGTGAAAGAAAGAAATTTTAAATATATAAATGAAAATAACACACATGCACACACACCTCCAAAGATTAAAAAATTATCATGTTTGATGAAAATGTGCCCTAAACTTAATAAAAACAAGGTTTTAATCATCAAAATCTTTATTCAAAGGATTTTTGATGTTCAAAATTATTTTTTTAATACTTATTAGAACTTTTGGTTAAAAATTTTGTTTATCTGGCATCAACAGAGGAACCATAAAAACACATTCATTTGAAAATTCTTTCAAAAATGAGATAGTATTCAGGTTTTAATGAAACTGTCAGAACTTATTCACAATTGAATTATTTTTTTAAATTTTTCTTTTTTAGAACAACTTGGTAAATTTTTTTTTTTTTTTACATTTGTTACCTGACACTTGTTTAATTTTATGAAATTGAGAAATTCTTTTTGTAGCACTTAATGTTTATATTAGATATAAGGACAAGTCCTAGGAAAATTTTTTTTTTTTGGTTAAACAGGTCCCCAATTAAAGAAAATCTGCTCTGCATCATAAAATAAAAAATGCTATAAAACTAAGACATTATTTAATTAGAAATGCTTTTAATTATTTTTATGAATAAAATATATTATGAACACTAGTGTCATAAGAAAAAAAATCTTTTTTAATAATGTTGAGTAATTTACAAGTTATGTTTTCATTTTTAAAAAATTTTAATTAGAATAATTTATAAAATTTTAAATCTTTTAAACTTTTAAATCTGTATTAATTTGTAGCAGTCAAGTAATATTGTTATTACATAAAAACTATATTTACTAATCATAACTAGAAAAGCTTACAATTCAGCAATCCTCAGTATATTAAAAAAAAATTTGTAATTTTTTAATGTGTGCATAAACATGCTGATATTTGTAAGTAATGATGTCTATTAAAAAATTATCTAAAAAAGGTGTTTATGTTTTATGTCAAGTAATTCTACCATGAATATTTTCCCCTTACATAAATCTCACAAATATCATGTTATTGATAAATGTGTCAACACCTCATAAAAAAAGCTATCTTCATGTTAGAAAATGTTTTTCTGCAAAATTTTAAAGTAAAAGTCAGTAATATTTGTTTTAATCCAGATTAATTAGATTTTAAATCAGTTAATCTTCCTCAATTAAAATTTCAGAAAAGTATGTTTTGTTTTTGAAAGATTTTTTTAATAAAGAGAATTATGCTGTTGACAGATTTGTCAATATGGCTAATTTTAGTGATTTTTAATAAATCATTTCAATTAACTTAAATTCAGTTTGAAATGCAGTAAAGTATTTTGCTTATTGGAAATATTAAATTTAACCTATTAGCATGAAATTAAAACTAAAATAAAAGCTACAAGAAAGATTTTTTTAATTTTTAAAATGCATTTTAAACCTTAGGTATCATTTCTTTTTCTTTTTTCTTGGAGGTACATATATAACATGCATACATAGATACATTAGTCTTATTATAAGCTATATATTTTAGCTTCAAATCTTAAGATTAAAATTCAAAGTTGTTGCTAAAAATTCACAAACACTTTTTCTGATAATTCTTGAAATAACAAGTTTTCAAACTGGTCCAGTGTTCAGTTGGAAAAAGTCATTGAATATAAATTTAATAACTGAAGTGAATTTGCAGTATTATACTGAATTAAAAGGTGATTTGCAGTATTATACTGAAAAAAAAAACAATCAGTTATTTGCTTGTGTGTGTGTGTGTGTGCATATATTGTCCTTGTCCCATTACATTATTTTTAGTTTTCTTATTGCAAGAGATTGAATTCACATTCTTTTAAAGTATACTTCACTTATTACATCTTATATTGCAGATCAATATGATCTTATTAACAAACATTTCAATGGTTTTATATCATTCAGCCAAATAGATTACAAATCTTTGAGCACCACCAATACCACAGGCATAACTTGAATGAATGTGTCTTGGATGTAATGCGAGAGTGTAGTGAAAAATTCTTGCCCAGATGCACTTCCCAAAAACCAGTACAGTACTCTAATGTTTGGGTCAGGCCAAGAACTTTTCATATTTTAGTAAAGTCTATTGGGGGGAGTTTTTACTTTTCACCTACCTTCATTAGCAAGAAATTAAATATTACTTAATATGTGTCTTCATGTAAAATTATCTTCTAAAATATTGAAAAGTTAAAAACAATCAAAATTCAAATTTTTAACTTTCTAAAGAATCTATATTTTTTAATGAAGCTCAAAGTTAAATTAATTTACCTCAGGAACAACTTCATCATCTCCTTCCACAGACCCACGATCATCCTCACTATCTTTTCTTTTCCGCTTGGAACGAACACTGTGAATCACACTTTTATGGTGGTCACAGATATAAATATGAGATACCTGCAGTTAAATAAGAAGTATGTTAGAATCCATTTTCAAAAGTCTTTGCATTTAATCAAATCAGTTCATAAAGATTATCATTTTAAAGATAAAATCAGACAAGTAAAATAGTTTAAACCAGTAGATAAAAAAAAGCAAACAAATAAACATTGAATACTTAATTTAATCCACACTACAAGCACCATTTTTCCTTTCTGCACAAGGCAAACCTACTCTTTGTTTCATATTTTTGAATAATAGCATTTGGGAATGCACAACAAAGAGGTGTTCAAAATTAGTTTGGAAAAAATAGATATATTAAAATAATAAGTCTGGTCCTATGTTACTGACAGTTTTTTTTTTTTAGATTGATGCATGAATTAACTACTGGTGAGGAACCACAAAGTATATACCAGAAAGAAAATCAAGTTGAAAACTCTTACACAATCATCTCTAGTTAGTTTTAGTTTCTTCTGTTGTACAGTCTTCTGTATACGTTTGCTGTAGCTGGCATTGCCAGCCTGTCGCGTGCAACGTTCACCATCATCTATCAAACTGCATATCTGATCATGTCCACTTCGGCTGTCATCCTCAGTACTAAAGCCATTTACTGAGCTGTTCATGCCTAAGAAAGAAATAGAAACAAAACTAGATATTAATCATTATTACAAGGTCTTCCTTGAAGAAAAAGAAAGGTCTATGTCAATTTTTATAACATCAGTGATACTTCTTGTATATAATTAAATAAATTTAAGATAACAAAAACTGTATGGTATGCTTCAAAGAGACATTTTTTAATTAGCACTAGCAAAGAACACCTGTTACAACAAAGCAAATATACATTAGAGAGAATGTGAGAGAGAATTCAGTCAGGAATATATTTTCATAAAATAATAAGAGTACACAAATTTTTTAAAAACTTGCAAATAAGTCTCTCACAAATTTTGAGTTTGAAAGTAAAATTACAGAATGATAAAAAAAATCAAAAACTTAGAAATTTTCAATTGCAAACTTTTTATAAACTTAAAAAAAAAAAAAAAAAAAAAATAGTAAGAGTAAGAGAATTATGGTTTTTTTTTTTGGTTTTTAAGGAACTGCAATACATTTCTATTCAATATTAGTTGAGAGTTCAAATGTTTAATATTTGGGTGTAATTTGTATAAAGTTCAGACTTTCAGTTCAGAATTGTTACCAGAAAAAAAATAAAGTTAACAGATAAAGAAGAGTTCAAAAAACTTATCTTCCAACTTCAAAGTTTTGCAGATAGAGCTACTGAATTCATTAACAGATATATTTATATACATTACATAAAAAAAAAATGCTAATCATTAATCCAGAACAAATTTCAAACCATTTTTATACTAAAAATTTTATAACTTCACAAGATATATATTAAAATTGTTCAAAACTTTTATATTTTCACTATTATAAAAAGGTGTCTGTTTAAAATGTTACTAACAATAAAACCATTGTAATATTAAAATTTATCATTTAGCAGAAGCTATGTCAGAATGATAGTCGAGAAATTATCACTCTCGGCTGGGTCAATAGGAAAGAAAGTCTGATGTCATGAAGGCTAGAGACTTTCTATGACCCCAGAATAGACATCACTGAGGAAGCATTCTGATGTACAATATATGCATATAAAACAAACTTATTTAAATATTCATGTTCTGTTTTTATTATAAAACAGGATTGAAATTTGTTTGGAGTCAAGGATTAGCTGATTTTTTATGTAGCATATATAAATATATTTGTTAATGAATTCCACAGATTTATCTTATTCTGATGAATGGTGTAAGAAGGTAAGTATTTTAAACTTTTCTTTATCTATTAACTGTTGTTGCTTTATTTTTATGACTAAGCATTTTGTTTAGAAAAATCTACTCACCTTTAAATGCAGTAAACTTCAGTAATTACTGGGCTACATGTTTTTATTAGGTATTAATGATCTGTTCCTATACACACACACTTAACTATAGTAAGGATGCTAACTGTAAGATTATGATTTCAATACACTAAATAGGTGGAATGTTAATATAACTTAAAGGTATATACTTTGACTTTTTAGAATTAGTATTATAGTTTGCGAAAAACTTAAAATCATAAAATCAAATACTAATCAAAGTTTCTAATAATTTGATCACATCCACATTGGACACGAACAATAAATATTTCCATTATAATAATAAAAATAATATTAAATATATATATATGTATATAAAAAAAACGTGTGATAGTCCTGGTTCAGTATTTTACTGCATAAGCAATATAGTAGGGTGGTAACTCTGGGTTGGTATTTTGGTACATGAGAGTGCCTAAAAGCAATTTGGGACAGAAATTGAGATTGGACTGAGAAAACTCCGGAGACTTATTGAACATCGGGGAGAGAGAGATAGGGAAGGAACAAATTAAAAGTAAAAATTATAGACCATAGGGTGGGTTTGGAGAGGGCTTTAGGTGGAATTTGAATCTGAAATAAACCATGTAGAAGTCATTAAGATTTACTAACATTGGATCTTGCCCAATTCCTCCAGGGCAATGTGACAAAATTTGTAGTCTTCTGAAATTTCCAAGATGTGTTTGTTTGGAGGTACTGTCAACCCAACAAACATTTATAGCTTACTAAGTTTAATGTTAGGGGTGCTTTTGGAATGAAGCATTCCACAAGGGGGGCATCTGTTTTTCAAACAAAGAAAAATGGAGATATCTTGTCAAAGGACATGTAGATGTAGATCAGTATATCAGGGAAAGTACTAAATTCTTATATAAACTAGCCAATAACCAGAGAGAAAAAGAGAGAGCCGAACCCCAAGTAACAAGATAGGCTAAGTTTAGTTTTAATCTCTACTCCTCCAGCTGCTGAGTTTCTCCCATTTATCTTGAATTATGGCTAGAATAATTTTCATGCTGAAAGACTATCAACCACGTTTCCAGTCTTGCAACCATCATCAGGCAAAGAGTGGTTATTTCCACATTAAAAGGAATGAATTTTCCTAA